TATAAGAAAATTCACTTTCGCAAACAGAGTGGTAGACGGTTGGAACAAGTTAGGTGAAAAGGTGGTGGAGGCCAAGACTGTCAGTAGTTTCAAAGCATTATATGACAAAGAGTGCTGGGAAGACGGGACACGAGTGTAGCTCTCATCCTGTAACTACACTTAGGTAATAACTCAGTCGCAGAGAACACCACTAATGCAAAACACTGCCAAGAAAGTGAGGCCAGAGTTGACAACCACCCTAGATCACATTAACCAACGAACTGGAGTTGCCGAGTAGCTGGTGCAGAGGGACTGGGGCTACACCCCTCCTCCTACTGAGAAGGTGAGGGCTGTGCAGACAAGTGGTGTGACGGCGAGGTGAGATGTTTGCTTGTTTCCTTGGGATTTGGGGGAGTGCTGCCACTCTGTTTTTTTATTGCAATTTTCTTATTATGTGGGGTTTGTTTTGTTATGCCTACCTTTCTGGGTGCCTAACCCCGATCGATGGCAGATTAGGAAAACGCCCAACCACAGGGGGGGGGGGGTTCTATGGGGCCAATGCTCCCTGTGCCTCTCTGAGAGAGCCAGGTTCTTGCTCGTGGTTGCTGGTAGACTGAACTCCATTGACTAATGCCCTTGTCTAATATATCGCATATTAGCATGATAGCTCCAGGCAGTGATAGGAGCTCCCAACAGAAAACCCAGCATTGACTCTAATGAACTACCTCTTTCTGGTAGAACCTAAGTGGTTCCCTGTAGCTATCTTATCGAGTCACATCAGTCGTGGGAGTTCTGTTTCGCCTACCAGGAACCAGAGTCAGTACCTGCCCCACCCCTTCTAACAAAGGTACAGAATGACATCCCACTATTTCACTGGAAAAATATTCAGAATGTCAAAAGCTTTACAGATATTTGCTTGGTTCAAAAGATTCAAAGCCTCAAAACTGCCAAACAACTCCCCAAAACAATATAATATACTTGAAACCAGCTCGAACTCATTAGTACCAAGTGCTGACACCAGGTGGCCTTAGAGCTTGGTCCTCCGCCAGCTTGCCACTCAGTTCCGGAGCAGAGAAAATCCAATGCAACGAACCAACAAACTTAAAGAGGGAAGGAGAGAGGGAAACAGAGCCACCTGTGCTAGAAAGAGTTGTTTTATTACATTCAATGCTGGGTTTCTGAGGGAGCCTCTTTGTGGTTCCCATAACTAATTAACTACAGAGAAAAATGAAGGGACTTACCAGGAGAGGTGGCAGGTACTAATTTAAAGGAGAAACCAATGGCCAGGAAACACAACCCAGGGCAACATAGGACCAATGAGGTGAAGGGACATTGACTAAATATCTGGCTGCCATGACCTAGTTAGACTGCCAAAACCCACAAGCTTGAATATCTGCCCAAGACCTACTGTACAGTGGTACCTCGGAATACGAGTGTCCCTGAATACGAGTTTTTCGGAATACGAGCAGGATTTGCTCGGAAAATGTGCCTCAGAAGGCGAGGGTTACCTCGTAACACGAGTTTGTTGATACGTGTACAGGCCGACTAGCGCATGGTGGCATGGCGATCGCGCCTCAGTTTACCAGTGTCTCGCGCCCAGTGACTATCCCACCTGAATTCTTCACAAGGATTTACAGTGTTTTGTCGTTTTTTTGGCCATTTGAGCATAAAAGTTGTCATTATATATCTCACCATGGGTCTCAAGAAAGCCATTGGTAAGGTTCAACCTAAGAAAATAGCTGTGAGTAGAGGCAGTAGAGGATGTCCCTTCTTGATTAAGAAAATGTGTGAAGTATGGGAAGAACTGCAAAGTTTTGTTGAAAAAACTTACCCAGATAAAGCTGTAGCAGGCCATTGCATTGACCTTTTAAATGACAATGTGATGTCTTACTACAGACAAGTGTTAAAATGTAGGGAAAAACAAGTGTCTTTAGACAGATTCTTAGTAAGACAAGCAAGTCCTAGTGGTATGCAGGCAAAATGTGCCAGAGTGTGTATACCAGTGAAGTCCTCACTGCCTGATGTGATAATGGAAGGGGACTCCCCTTCCAAACAGTAACACCTCTCCTCCTCCCACCTCCTCACATCTTCCATACACCAACAGCAGTCCTCAGCAAGGGTAAGTAATAACTTGAACATAGTTTTGTAGTTTTATTTAGATGAATTAGGTATAAAATTTATTTTGATGTGGGGTTTTTGGGGTAGTCAGGAACGGATTAATTCATTTCCCATTATTTCTTATGGGGAAATTAGCTTCGGAATACGAGTTTTCGGAATACAAGCTGTCTCCAGGAACGGATTAAACTCTTAAACCGAGGTACCCCTGTATTAGAAAATACTGCTGAGAGCAGCATATTTGCAAAGATTAATGACATATTAATGGATACTGGCTGGCTAGCCTTGATAACATGGTGGACAACCTGTGATACACAAGCCTTCAAACAGGCAAACAGGATAAACCCCATAAAGTGTCCACCGCAGCGGAGCCAGTGGCACACAGGTAGGAACGAACCACTGCCCACAACAAATGATACACCCTCCCCCTTGCCGAATCAACCAAACATCAATAACTAAAGGAGCAGACTGGGAGAAATATTGTCATGCCCTGTGCTAACTTAACACTTTCGCGCTCTCGGCGAAGGTCACTCAGCCAACCTTATGTGCGCGCGGCGTTTTTATCGCTTAAGCGTAAAAACAAAAATGTGTATACTCTTTTTACTCTTCTGACCTTAGTTCTCATGCTACGTATTTCATTTTGGTACCAACGTGTTCGCAATAAAATTCTCTAGAAGAACATCAGTAAAAAAAGTCACGAAACATATAGGGATACCAGCACCAAATAAATAACTACGAAGATGACTCGCCGTGAGCGCCCATCAGCAACAAAATGTTTTTACTCTTGGGATTGTAATCACCTCCACACTTATTCTACAGCGTTAATTTTGGTATCAATGGACTCGCAATGAAATTCCCAACACGGTGATATGAATATAAGCGTAGAATAATGATGCGGCCCGCCCGCAAGAGTGTGGGAAGTGGTGAAATTGTTACCCGGTATCGGTGACGGGACGACGCACGGCGCTTTGAAAGTTTATACTTATTTCACTCTCATGACATTAATTTTCTATGTACGTCATTCATTTTTGTGTCAATGTGTTCGCAATAGAATGTTCTATGTGCCCATAGGTAAAAAATATCAACAAAGCGTAAGTTAGAATAGCGCCAAATATAAAACAACGCTGGAACATATCAGTGAGCGTCAAACACACACGAAATGTTTTTACTTTTGTTATGTTTGTCAAGTTTATACTTGTTGCACACAGTTATTTTTGGTTGTATATTGATCGGAATAAAATTCCCTAAACAGACATATGCATATAATACATGATATGGGGGAAGCATTACCAGTATAAACGGCTAAAGTCACCCACCTGCAACCCGTTTGGGACAAAATACCATTTGATCGAAGTTATCCACACCTTTCATGAACTTATTGTACCATGCAGCCTAGTGGTGAGAAAGAGAGCCTCATAGCGCGCAGTTTGAAACAAACCCAAAGTAAATCGGATAAAAATTGAATTTTATACAAATATTTTAAAAGAGGACTCAACTTTATGTCCACTATGCGTTAGCGTTAGACGAAACGGGACGCGCCGGCGCGTCCAGATAGCGCGAAAGTGTTAATAACAGGAAATGCAGACCACAGTGTGCCCAACAAGCCAATAACACTCATAAACCCAAGGCAAGACAGAAAACCCAAGACACCTGGCTTACCTTCTTGAGGTTCTTGAGGCTATCCTGAGATGATTTCGGGACTTACCGTCCCCGCGGCCCGGTCCTCAACCAGGCCTCCTTTTTGTTACACATCCCCAGGAAGCAGCCCATAGTAGCTGTCTAACTTCCAGGTACCTAGTTACTGCTAGGTGAACAGGTGCATCCGGGTGAAAGAAACTCTGCACATTTTGTTTCCGCTTCCACTGGGGATCAAACCCAGAACCTCAGGACTATGAATCCGAAGCACTGTCCACTCAGCTGTCAGGCCCCCTTGAGATCAAACCCTCCCCATGATGCCCCCCTTGAGGTCAGACCTTAAAGGAAAGGACCACCCCAAGAGAGGAGACCCATTAAAAGGAGCATTCCCCAAATGTCCCAGGGAAGATAACCATGGCCACGCAAGGGCAGTACTCACAGAGCACACAGGGAAAGAAACCCTGAGCTCATGCAGCTCCGGTACACTAAAATTCCTGGCTCTCACACACACACTCCCATGTAAAATACTGCCTCAAAGACAAGAAAACACCACATGAAAACATAACAGAGGTGCCAGAGAAACACACCCACTAGGTAAACACATTGTTAAAAAACTGAAGCTGGTTGGCCAGGTGCCTGCTCCTCTCCCCCCCAATGAGGGGGGGGGAGGGAAAGATGGAGTTAACTAGCAGGGGGGGCTAGTTTCACTATGTTTTGATTGTTTCTTTTATTACTGGGGGAGTTCTTTTGGAATTTTGAGAGCTTTGGTAGTATTTTTAAACCAGGAAGTGGTTTGTTTTGATTCACCTATTTTCCTGGGTGCCTTCCCTGGTGATGGCAAACTTGATCAATGGTGATGGTGATGGCAAACTATAATCAATGTAAATTGATCATAGGTCATCGCTCCCTGCGCCTCTGTGAGGGGGCCAGGTTCAGAACAGTGGTCCCAGGTAGGTAAAAAGAACTCCACAACTTATGACACTAAGTAGAATGGCACTTAAACAGTGATGATAGCTTCAGGGAGCCGATGGGACTCCTCACAGAAGAGCACTTTGATAATTTGTGTTAAGCAGCAATCAAATTTGAATAAACATTATTCATATAAACTAAAGTCCTGTTACATGGATGAGTACTATTAAAATAATATACACAGATGAATTTCTTCAAACTAAAAAAAAAAAATGATAAAAAAAAACATAGGGCTGATAAGAATTATTATCTATAGGGCATGGTCATGAGGGTACCTAATAATGAACTCACAGTGCTCTTACCTGTGCAAGTGTGGAGGGTATAGACACTGGAGGGTAGTACTGGAGAGGTGGTGGAGGCAGCAAAGGTTGGGATACCCCTTGTGCTCCACTAAAAGGAACACCAGGTGGCTGGATGTACATCTGAAAAAATGATGCACTAAATGTAATGAAATGCCCTTTTCTTGGAAAAGGCTATCACTAACTTCATAAGCTTTGAGCAGGTACAGCCAAGTTTTAGCGAGATGCAACAGACCTCCAAGACCAACACTCGCCTACCATAAGTCAGGATCTTAATCTACGACACGAGAGGAGCCTGGGGATCACAGATCACCAGGAAACCAAAAAAAACAGAAAGTATGAACTCGACAAAATAGCAACTGTTTGAAAAAAAATAGGTTTCAAAAGGTAACAATAAATGTTGCTGTTCTGTAAACTCTCTGTCATGATGTGCCTGCCCACTATCAGATGGCCCAGAATTTCAGGTCACCCAGAATCACAGCCAACACTTGTAGTCACTCGCACACGAGCTGTCCAAGCTCATGTGCGAGTGACACACAACTGAGCCACAATTACATCAGCCGAGAACTGATAGGTGGATAGCTGGCGCGATGGGTCTGGGGCTCCCCCCCTTTCCCCTCCTGGGGAGGGGGGAGCTGCGCAGACAAGCAATGCGGCAAGTGTGACGTCATGCTCGTTTGCTCGTCTTTCAATTGGGGGCCCCTGTAAGTATTGTATTTGTTAGTTTTCTGTAGTAGTTTAACCAGATTAGGGGTTTGTTTTGGGGCGCCTACCTTTCTGGGTGCCCAGCCCGGTCGATGCAGACATAGAATGCTCCACACACATATGCATTTCTGTAGGCCATTGTTCCTCATGCCTCTCTGAGGGGGCCAGGTTCTGGCTTGTGGTCCCCGGATATATATACATATCAGCCTGGATAGGTCCGGGAAGCCGAACCCCTCCCCCCCCCCCAGAAACTAACATATACAATGCCAAAAACAACTACTGTATTGGCAAATGGCGTGGAGCTGCCACGCCTTTATACTGCAGGAAAGGGTAGTGGCAAACAGTTCTCAGTTGACTGCTGTGAAGGAAAAACCCTCATGACAGACCTGAAACTCATGGGTAACTTTCTTCCACTCGAGTGTCTATGTATGGAAAAAATCTGACACTTATCTAAGGAAAAGAAGAGGTTGTCTGCCATCAAATATAAAGCTGGAACCTTATACCACAGCCAGGAAGCAAAAGAGAATCTAAACTCAAAAGATTTAGGATCAAGTTCAGATGCAGTCCCAGTGCCATAGTTCCTGCCAAGCCATGGGACCTGGAAACACACCAGCGAGGATGCAGAGAAGTCCTACTCATACAGGGAAGCTGGATAAGAAAACACATCCATTCTGAGTACTAAACTTTCTGAGCCAGAAGCCAAAGAAGGTGAAAAGAGCTAAGGACCCCCCCCCCTCCAGCAACTCCAAACTCCAAGACTCTTTACAATAAAAGATTACAAGGTTACATTTGAATGAAGGAAGGGAAAGCAAGATAAGGCAGTAGCCCTCTAAGCCATTTTCATCACTTCCACTTAACAGTGCCTGCAGGTCCGTGACCCGCAGCAACGTAGAAGCCTGAACGAAGAGTGGAGTCCAAGAAGCTGACTAACAGAAGACAGATCTTACAACCACAAATTCAACACTATCAATTTATTACATTTAGTAACCCCCTTCTACACCACAGATTTGTGAAGTCCGCGTTATTCGTTGAAATATTCTTCAACATATTAATTCTGTTCTGGATCTATAAAGCTACATGTAGTTTTATTCCCTTTATACAAAACAATATATTTTTTAAATATTATAGATTATATCTGATCTACACATTGCTTACTTCTCTGAAGTTCTATTAATTCTTATCCTTCTTTAAATTAGCTATGAATGGTTAGCTAATTATCTTTTAATACTGTAATTACAATCATCCTTGTAATAAGGAAAACATAGGCTTGGGTTCCAGAGAAATCCAAAATCCATTTTTCCACTCTTTATGGGAAAGAACATATTTTAACATAAATATTAATGTTACCTTGACTTTCCAGCCACAAATTTAGTGTATAATGAAGTCCAGAATGCTTAAGATTTACAATGATTCATAAGTAAAACCTAATAAGTTTGTAAATTGCAAGAACATATAGTGAGTGGGAGCCTGAAATACTACGAAGAATGTAGTGGCCCTGAAGATCAGTGCAAGTTAGCCATACTAATCACGTTAGTTGTTGTTGTGTTGATTTAGGGGCAACGACGATCGTGGGATCGGATGCACCCCCGGCTGCCCGATACCGGGAAATAGCAGAGGGATGGGGGTCCCTATAATCTCTTCAGACCTAATCATGTTAGTTAATCTTCAGCTTTCCTAATGTCAAAATTTACTTGCATACTTTCACAGTATAAAAGCACTTACCTGTATAATCCAATAACAAATATCCTGTTCTGCCTGTACGCTGGATATATATTTGCCTATATATACCTAGCAAATAAAATTGACTTTTCAAATAACACAAACCTGTGATTTACTGTACATTGGTGCCAACCTTTCTATAGAAATACAGCATCAAGCTCAATTTAACTATATTGTATTAATTTATATATTACCAAGTTTAAATTACTTAAATTACTGTAAATTAGTCCAGGTTAAAATTACTTAAATTACTGTAAATTAGTTGTTCTCCTTTAAGACTATTTTTCCTAAAAATAAAAATGTTAACTGTTTTAAATGGGATGAGAAACAACAGGGCAATGGAATTCCAAAGCCATATGTACATCTCAGGATTACTGAGATAATGTCTGGGTATTGCTGTTAAATCAATCCCCAGCTCACTATACAAATTGTTAAGAAACTGCATATACTCCTATAATAAACAAAATAAATACAGTACCTGCATAGGCATTTGAGGATTGATGCAGGATACACTGGTAGTTAACCCCTGGATGTAGTTGTAGCCAAGAGGGTAAGGAATGCCAGGTATGCCATAGGGAACAGAGGGTGCTGTTGCAGCTACTGGGTACCCAGTAACTCCTACTATTGTGCCATTACCACCATTCCCAGTCACTCCAACAGAAACCTAGAAATAAAATAATCTATTTGTATCTTCAAAGTCCCAATTCCTTGAAAAACATACAGTACTCTTAATAAAATAGTTGCTAATATAGATTTGGTTTGTAGTGTAGCTATTTAATGTTGGTGACAGTAATTGTTAATTTTGTGAAGATTCCGTAAAATTGGGAATAATTATGAAATCGAGAAACTTTCTAAAACTATGTAAATTTAATTATTATAAATAACAAATGTATTTAGAATACCGGTGGATGAAGTCCTTGCTGAGCCTGTTGGTCCATTTGTTGAAGGGGTGGTGGTGGTTGCTGCTGCTGCTGCTGCTGCTGCTGTTGTTGTTGCTGTTGCTGTTGCTGCTGTTGCTGACTGGGTGGAGTAGGAGGATTAATTGGAGGTGGTGGTGGCAGAGGAAGGTCATGAGCTCCTCCAGGATCAACAAAGGGTTGATCTACCACTGCATGGTGGCAACCCCCCGTTCTGGCTTGATGTCGGGCCTGGTGACGAGTGCGAGTTTCATAAATCTCGTACCATCGTCGGGCCACTGAGAACAGGACCTCAGGATATACACCGCCGCCCTTTGCTGCACCCTCTACTGCAAGGCAGGCACTTTCCAGCATAGCATCACTCTGCTCTTTGCACTGTGGGTTACAATAAACTTTTGATAATGCTTAAACCGTAAGAAAACATGTCAAAATACCCGAATCAAAGGTATTTGCACCTACATATGATTTATTTTTACAAAAAATTATATTTATATGCATATTATTTTATATTTAAAAGTATTACTGTGCTACATGTACTAACAAATAAGAATACATCAGATACTAAATTCTTAAACGTATATACTACATCTACCACATTGTAACCTTACTAACTGAAATAGCAACCACTTTCAAACTATTTCTTAATTTGGAGCCAAGAATGCTTTACAATTTATTCTTCTGGAGGAGCCAAACAGTGGCTCTCTGTTGTTAGTGGCACCGAGATAGTTCTGCACGTATTAGTCACATCGGCACTAGGAGTCCTTAACAGCCTATCATAGACCACAAACTAAAACCTGGCCACCCACATTCCCCACACACACAGAGCAGGGGATTCATGATCACCCTCACTGAAGAAACAAACCCTTTGAAAGAAAGTGAAGCAATACAGGCATTTTTTTTTTTTTTTTTTGAGATATATACAAGAGTTGTTACATTCTTGTACAGCCACTAGTACGCGTAACGTTTCGGGCAAGTCCTTAATCCTACGGTCCCTGGAATACGATCCCCTGCCGCGAAGAATTGTTTTTTCATCCAAGTACACATTTTACTGTTGCGTTAAACAGAGGCTACAGTTAAGGAATTGTGCCCAGTAAATCCTCCCCGGCATGGATACGAACCCATGACATAGCGCTCGCGGAACGCCAGGCGAGTGTCTTACCACTACACCACGGAGGCTGCTAAAGGTTCGATGTTGAGGCTGCTAAGGTTCTGAGACCTTACATTTGCAAGGTTTAACATTTAACATTTGCAAGGTTAACAGAAAGTAAACAGACAATGCAGCAAACAACCAGCAAATGATTCATCCAGTAGTTAGGTCATACCTCCATTAGTTGCAGATGACCACCACCAGATGGCAGCACCATAAGAGCTGCCAGCTCCCCTTGTCAACATTCCTCAATTCTTTGCCTGATGTCAGACATGTTTGACATACTCTTCCTCCTCGGGTCACTAGCTCTCTAGGTTTTATATATTCTAGATAAGTGTTAGCTTTTCCCTGGTCTCTGTCCCATGGGGGTCCATTTGCTTGTGTATTGTTCTAATAATCAGTGTTTGCTTCACTTGCATGTGTTTACAAGCCTCACTTGTTGTGTGGACTTAAGAAACAGTTCATCTTGAACTGAATGTGCTTAGTGCTACCTTTCCACAGGTACTCACTGATGTTGCAATGTCCTGACAGGGTTGCTTCCCTGATGGATTCGGGTATTCATCCTATAGCAGCTGATCACCTGTGGATGGTACCCTGGCTTGAGTAGTGCAAGGGGTCCTTGATTCCTCTGCAAGACTCTGAGGTTGGGAGACTTCTGGGGTTATTGCTTAAGGGGTGAACTAGTTTGCACAAGCTCGTATGCTAGTACATATAGCATGCTGCCGACACTCTTCATACTTGAGTTTTCCCTAAAGGCTGCATTTGGTGTAAATTCCTTTCAGCAAGTGTCCCTAGTACTTGGATGTTCTGCTTGGTTTTTACCTTCAGAGCCTCACAAGCATCAAACGTTTTCAGTGCGAAACGTCACTGATCTGTCCACCGAGCCCACACTCGATTGTCAAAAGACCGCAGTGATCTTAGACCACAGCATGAAGTTCTACAGCTGGGCAGTAGGGCCAGAGAAAATTATTTTTTCACAGCTTAACTTTCACTTAACTGCATGTTGATCTAAGTTGTGTCCTGACCAGTGATGATCAGCAGTGAATTTCAAGTTGCAATTCTGGTACCTTAGGGCGATTCTGTAACCACCAAACACAAGTGAGAGAGTGTAGAACATTGGATGCCTACTATTCTGTGGTCAGAATCAGTGACAGTCAGGCAGTGATGTGCCTGATGGTGTGACAAGTCAATCAACTAGTGACAATGTTTTTGTTCTTTTGGCCATGGCGGGTTCATTTGCAGCCTCTAATTCTTTTCTGACAGAATTAAATTGTTGACCAGACTACACACTAGAAGGTGAAGGGACGACGTTTCGGTCCGTCCTGGACCATTCTAAAGTCGATTGAGACTTGAGAATGGTGCAGGATGGACCGAAATGTCGTCGTCCCTTCACCTTCTAGTGTGTATTCTGGTCAACATACTTCAGCAATGTTATTGTGACTCATCGTCTGCAGAATGAGATTGTTGATTTTGGGTGTAGTCCTCCAGTTTTTGTTTTTTGGTTTGTTCAGCCAGGCATGCATCACTCGGGGGTCAAGTTGCTTGTTGATTCATTCTCCTCAGTCTCCTGTTCCAAGACTCATTTTTTTTGGTTGTCTGCAGGGTCTGCAGTCTTCCCTCGGGCACATGGAGCTCAGAAGTTTGTGGCTTTGACCGCAGTATTTTCACATTTATCTTGGGCTGATATCATGGCTAGGAGGTTTCTGAAGGTATTCCAAGATCCTGGTGGCTTGTTACTCAAATGGGACCAGACACTCAAACCAGCTTATTACCTGGTCCCCTTTGAGCTAGTATTGCCATTAGTAAGGTTTCTCCTATTCTCTCACTTTTGGAGATTTGATCGTTGCTATCCTCCCTCGGTGTATTTTGCTTTCCTATCTCTATGGTCAGTTAACCACCATTCAGCCCTTCAAGAAACCCAGTGTTGAGTCTAGTGAAACACTTCTTTCTGTGGCTTGGTGGCTCCCTGGACCCTGCCCTCCCAATCAGATGTGTTAGTCAAGTTTCTTAGGCTCCAGACTGATGATTGTTGACACCGGGAAGCTCCTGTGATGCTACCACCTGGTAGTGGCCATATGTAACTAGGGAAAGTAGGGGTATGACCTAACTGCTAGACAAATAATTTGTTGATTTGCTGCACTGTTTAATTTCTGTGAACCGTGCAGTTTGCAGTTGTCAGTTTGCTTCACTTCCTTTTTTTTATGGTGAGGATGATAATGAATCCCCTGCTCCATGTACCTTTGTGAGGGGAAAAGGGGGGCAAGGGCAAGGTTGTGGCCTCCAGTCTCCAGTAGGCTATTAAGGACTCCTAGGGAGTTATATATGTGGAGCTGTCTCAGTGCAGCTAGCAACAGGGAACTCAAAAATGAAGTATTTCATTACATTCAATGCCAATTTTTTTAACATAGATATAATGTAAAATATCTTACCTGTATGATTGCTCTTTGAATTTCATTTGGATTGAGTGCATGAGCATGGGGTAAGCAAGATAGTGCTAGTCTTGCTGCTGCTCTTATAGTGAGAGCATCTCTGCCACGAGATGCACGATCAGCAATAGATGCTGCCTCCTGAGGAGTTAAATGTCCTTCCCAAGTGTCAATCAAAAATGACACTGCTGATGAACCAATCTCAACTGCTTGGCCTGAAAGAGTAAAGGAACAGCTCAATTAACCAGTATGGGAAAGAGCAAAATTTTTTAATTATAGTATTTAGTACAAAGGAAAAGCCGTTTCAATAAACTTTCCATTTAAAGAAAAGGATTATTAAAAAGTTACCATTTACACAATCACATTCTAATCCAGTAAAAATATCTGCTGTACAGCAATATTTTTTGGTCAACCTATCATAGTGTTGAAACTCCAGCTACACTTACGCATCTGATATGGCCAGTTGCAACTCCTAATCTCAACCAATGTTAACAAACAGGACTTTAAAACAAACTCTTAACAAATATTATTTCTGTTACAGTGGACACTAGTGTATATACAGTTCTTAAAATAGTATTAAACTACTTCCATATAATGCTTAGCACTCTGATGGCAACCTGCCCAAATGGGGTATGTACCCAAGTGGTAAGCACTTCAAAACTACTATGTAATTAGTGCCATTATCTACTCTATATCCATGTTTGGTTTGGATTGGTGTGGTTTGGTCACACCAAATATTCCTTATTGGTCAAATGTAATAGGGAATAACACACACACTCTGACATCCAGAATGTCTCATATTGATGAGTACAACAGAAAATAATTGTTCAGACTTTTCCTCATCAAACTGTTGCTTTCTCCCCTTTAGATTTTCAGGATTAACCACTTTTTTGGACAAAAACGTTTCATCTGGTTTTGGTTCCGAGGTGACTGGAAAGTGGAAAGCACATGGTCATCTGTATTTTTAAAAGGTAAAAGCCTAATAGATGAAATGGATACTGTATATATATGCAGGAGAGTCATACTTGTAATCCATGAGACATGAGATGAGTATGTCCTCGAGAGCCAGTTGGGGCTGACACAATTATGTAGGCCAAGAGCATAAAGACCAATCTGGAATGCACACATGTGCAGTGGTCGATGAGGACCTCTGTGGTTCTGGGAACTGCTAGCCTGTGCAGAAAAAATAATAATTGTCTAAATATTACACACAAATACAAAAGTTCTGTGCAAGTGCCGAAAATGTGTATTTTCTTACTGTATAGACCAACCAAAGCAAAATACAGTATTACATTGATAATATTTCAAAGAAATGCTAAGGGACATTAAACCAAAATGGTTTATCCCTTATCTATAACACCTTTTAATATTAATGTTATTCTATATACATATTCAAAATGAACATCTTACATAAATTTGTTGGAAAAGACAGAAGGAGCAGTTCTCCTCTGAACGCCATAATAAGTTCCAAAACGTGCTGGCTAAACCAACAAATACAGTATATGATAAATCAATGTGAGGAAGCTGGAGTTAATAGGATGTGAAAGGGAACAAAACAATGTGGAAGCAATTTGTGCCGGGGAAATAAGCATTCCATTTATACAAAGAATGTTGAGGGTCACATGGAGGCCTATTTTCCCATTCTTATGAACCAATGGGGTGTGGCGCTTGATTTGTTGGTGGTGGTTGTGATCGCTCATCGTATTATATTAGAGTACAATTTATAGTGAATGGATGAGTATCTAGCTTTCTTATCCTATACTCCTTTTTCATCTTTATTTTTATGCAGATTCAATCCCCCTTACTCAATGACAGTTAGAAACGAGTGTCACCCTTACAAGGGTGACACTCGTTTCCAGGGTGACATTGGGTGGGGTGACAAGGGTAAGGGTGACATTGAAAAACCAAGATTTTCTACACTAATAAAAGTTATGATTCTCCAAAGATGATAACACGCATTAATTAAATATGAATTACCTGTGTAAACAGTGACGTACTGCTATTACCCCCAGCTCGGTTTAGCACTGTTTTAGCCAATTCAAACATGAAATAAGCACTTGCTTCTGATGGCTGATTGGGAACAGTAGGGTATGCTCTTTTACCCTTAAAGCGAACACCTTTTCCATATGCTGGCTGTGGTCTAGGCTGTGCTGCAGTGCTTTCAGGAGTTGGTTGTTGAACCGGCCGAACCAATGAAAATCCAAGTGGTGGAGATTCAACTGGTTTGTTTACCTATAAAAAATATATACATAAAAAGCTGACTTCAGGCAACTGAATATGACAAACACAAGAAAACATAAATAAATAAGCAGAGATTTACACTCAAGTAAATATGAATGAATAATATAGGTTTTTATATTTATTGGAAAATCTAAACTACCACCAGTACAGTACTAAAAATACTGTACATTAAACAAAATCTTCCTAAATACAGTATAGTAAAGTAGCTCTCAATTTGCACAAGGATTTACAATCCTGGAAAAAAACCCAGCCCAACCCTTAGAAAGTAAATTAAAGTGTTCATGGGGGTGGGGGGGGGGAATGCAGGGGGGGGGAAGAGTACATTTCAGATGTCCAAATGTCCCATTTTCTCCTCTAGTATCTCCATAAAACACCAACTTGACAAATAGTATACACCCTCCACATCCCATCTACAAAGGCAGAACATTACATAAAGAAGTCCATAGAGCTTGAAAGATGAAACAATGCAAGAATAAAAAGTGCACTCTCCAAATAATCGAACTCTCCAAACAGAACAGTTATCTAGAATACAGATAACTGTATTCTGGACTTCCAAAAATAATCAGAAAAAATCAATACCCACTCGGCACAGGAATTTCAAACCAATAATACTTTTTCAATACTTTGACTATTCTAGCACTTTTTAAAGAAAATATTATTAAAAGATACAGTTCTGTTTTGTTTTACTATAATTATGCTGTACTATAAATGTAAACAATTTTTTTTGTGGGTAGCCTAGTACTACAACAATGGTAACATACCAACAATGTGAAAGAATTTCACTTATTTGGCATGTGATATTTTAATACAGTACAGTATTTGTGACTATTTAAAATATCTCCCTGCATAAATGGACACTAAATTCTGTAGGAGAAAGAAGAGGTATCTTAACATGTATCAGTAGAAAATTTAGCATAGCTGTAGATTGAGGTTGTTGAGGACAAATTTAGTAATACTGTACCACATTCACTGTTTCTAAAGTAAAAAACTCAGCACTGAATGCAATGAAATGCCTCTCTGGAGGAGCCCAAGGGAATCCCCTTCAGTACAGAGCAGAACTTGCTCCGTACAGAAAGTTACATCGGAATTCGTGTCTAGCTTATCGAGGACCAGAGCCAGAAGCTGCCCTCCTTCAGAGACATGCAGGAAGTGACAATTTGTCACAGCCACCAGAAAATCAGCAAAACCTCACAGGTAACAGTAGAGTTCACAGAAAATAAAGTCTCAAAACTGCCAACCAACTCTTGTAAACAATTCACACAGAACAAGGGATTCACTGAAACTAGTTTGAAACTTGTTAGTACCAATTACCACCACCTGGAGACTTTGGCCCAGCCTGCAGCTGGCTTTTCTGTCCATCCATGGAGCTAATGAACAACCGACAGCGAGACAGGAACCTAAAAAAACCCAGTGAGGTCTGGACCCACCAGTCCTGGGAGTGATGAAATGGATGGAACCAGAGAAAACAGAACAATGCCCAGAGCCAAATTCTGCCCACAGTAAAGGCAATGCAGGCAAAGCTGAGGGTCCTGCACAACCACTCAACTAACTAGCAAGTCACCCAGAGCAGATCAAACACCAACCAGCGACAAAGCTTCAGACAGTGCAAAGCCATCGAAGACAAAGAAAGAGAAGCCGACCGAGTCCCAGATGAAATCCAGACAAATCTGAACCTGGGATGGAACCGATGGGGACTTCTTGCAGTTCACTGGGAACCCAAACCTGGCATGCTAGGAACGAACCATATGCCTGGCTTCTTGACATACAGACTGACTGGAAGCCTAAATCAACCAGTTGCCAAGGTAAACCAAGACATGAACCCCTAGAAGGTGCAGCCAGGCAACAATCACCTGCACCAACCTGGTAAACACACAAACACACACACAGCCAGACTCAAAACCTTGAAGCAGTAAGCCTGATGCCCCAGAAAACCTAACCAGTCCCTGAACTTGGGATGACCAGGGCATACCAATATACATCCTTGAAGTTCAGGGACACTATTCATGCTCCAGCCTGTAAAACCAGGTACACTTGAGACTAGGTGGTCATGCAGAAGGTTGGACATTGCATGAAGGCCTTCAAAACCAAAAGATCTGGTTCAAAAGATACTGTAGGTCCACTGAGTCCCTCTTCAGGGCCAGAAACAACCAGGACACCCACTGAAGGGATGAGACCAACTTGACCATGTCTGAGGCCTGTTACGACCCTGGGTTCCTCAGTGGAAACCAGATGTCAAAATTGAGCTAAATAAACTGCCTTATAGTATAGGAAACGCATCACGAGGTGCATTTGTTTGTATCTTCCCTGCCAGACGTAAGACTATTCTTGTTGCTCACAAGCATTCAGACTCTTGAGCTTGTTGTGGATTAAGTATAACATTGTTATAAGATTAACTACCCTGAGAACGAGTAAAGTAACAATATATTGCATAGGGGAAGATTTTTAATGTGTTTAGCTGCACGATCAATTAGGCTCCTCCCGGCACCACACAAGGCGGGAGCCCTGAGCTGGTTGCTGGAGGCTTTCTTCTCTGCTGGCGTTCGAGGTGTAAACAACTGGACTGGTGGCTCGACGCCTCTCCCCTTCTACCTCTCTTCTTACTTATTTCCCTTAACTTAAGTTAAGTATATCCTGTGTTGTAAGTGTGCCTACTCTGGTAGTAAAGTTTGGTGAGACCTGGGGGTAGTATTTGCCAGTGTTTTTGGTACCCCTAAGTGTTGTGTTGTGTTGTATTAGGGTACCACGTGGTCTCACTACCCTAAGTTGCATCAAGCTTCAGTTCTTAACCAGTAGTACTTTACCCTAGCTTGTTCACAGTGTAAACCTTGTATCCTGTCTAAGTGGACCAAGGCTTTTAACGTAAGATAGTGTGGTAAAGTAATTATTATTGTTATTGGTGTAAATGTATATGGGGGGTTGTTAAGGGGTTAATAAATAAGTAAGTTAGTAAAGTAATATCCATTCTTCCGGTGTAGGAGATCTATGATCAACCACTAGACTGACATTGGGTAGCCAATTATTATTCGGTGGATATTCCACTTGGGGGCCGGGCCTTTTGGATCTCCCATATGTGATAACTCTTAATGCTAACTACTGCCCCTACACCTATGTTATACTATATCCCCCATAGTACAGACTCCCATATGTAACAGGCCAACCAACCTGCAATGACCAGATGCAGAGCTGGGGAATATATCTTTGTCAGTGCAGTGGTAGTACTAGCGGGCACCCTAGGAAGGAAGCCAGAGTACATGCACTCCGGAGCACAACAAAAGGAAGCCACAGTGCATGTACTCCGGAGCACAACAAAAGGAAGCCAGAGTGCATGCACTCTAGAGCACAACAAAGTCATGCCCACACAACAAGTGAACAAATCCACAAGGGCCGTGACAAGGATTCAACCTGCGTCTAAGAGCATCCCAGACGCTGCCTTAACCCTTAAAGTGCGCATCACTTCATATGAAGTGTAAATCGTTTTACCAGTCAACTGCACTTCACTTCATATGAAGTGTATGGGTACCGCGCACGATTTGAATGGCACGCGGTGTAGCTGGGGGTCCCATACGCTGCCCAGGGGCTCTAGTAAACAGCGGCCATTTTGAAAAAAAATCCCGCTCACGATCCGAAGGCATGGGAGGCCTCAGTTTAGCGAGAGTCACCATGGCGAGCGCACGGTCAAACGCCTCACGGGCACGCACCACTCAGTCCCTCACCCCAGAGCAAATAGCCCACGAATTATTCTCTGAAGGTGAAGAAAGTGTGTTTGACGATTCAGACAACGATGAGGATTATACACAGTTGTCGGGTGATAGTAGCAGCAGCAGTGAAAGTGAGAATGACCGCCATGCCATGGCGAGGCCTATACGCTCACCGATGCCTCCTCGCCCAGTTTCTACCCCAATTCTACCACGACCTCACAGTTCCTGTGGATATTTTCTGTTTGAGGGTGACGAGTCAGAGGGAGGTGACTCCTTTTCTGGGTTTAGTGACTCAGATCAAAGTTTTATTGAGCCTGTGGCTGGTACCAGTGGTGTAACTGGGCGAGAAATTGTCGCGTCAGCAGCATCTCGCCCGGCCAAGCGCCACCGCATGGCACCACATGAGGGACCAAGACCCTCGTGTTCACGTGCATCCACCTCACGTGCACGTAGCCGCCGTGCTTCTCGCAGACGGTATTCAGCTCCTGGTCGCCGGTATGCATCGCTTCCTCGCCGTCCTTCCTCTGCATCTCGCAGGACGCCTGGTATACTTGAGTGGAGTGATGGTGACGATTTTATTCCTAATATTCCTCACTTTGACGATAAAGATGTAGGGATTACAAACCTTTTCCCTAATCAAGGTGAGGACATGGCTGAGATGGAATATTTTACAGCATTCTATGATGAACCACTCATGGAATACATTGTACACCAAACGAACCTGCATGCTGCTTACCTGATTGAGAGGGAAATCACAGAATTTTCACGACTGCAGCGTTGGAAAAATACCACAGTGGCGGAAATGTATGTGTTTTTGGCACTCTGTTTGTTGATGAAGCACTGTCACAAACATGCAATAAATGACTATTGGAGCAAGGACAAGACAATACCAACACCTTTATTCGGGAAATATATGTCACAAGACAGGTTTCAGATACTCCTCAGGTGTCTACATTTTGGAAGTGTTCAGGACCAAACACTTGATGATAGACTGTGGCGAGTGAGGCACTACATGAACGATGTTATTGGAAAATTGAGAGATTTTTACGTACCAGCACAGAAGCTGGTGGTTGATGAATCTCTCATACTTTTCAAGGGACGTGTTCCATTCGAACAGTACATTCCCTCAAAACGAAACCGATTTGGCCTGAAATTTTTTGTTCTTTGTGATTGTGAGACAGGATACGTGTTACACATGATTCTGTACTCGGCTAGTGATGTAGACATTCCCGGTAACGACGAACATGGATTCTCGGGGAGTGTAGTGAAGACCATCATGGCTCCGTGGATGAACAAGGGACACATTTTATACACAGATAATTACTATACAAGTCCCTTGCTAGCTCGGTTCTTGCTAGAAAATAGAACCGGATTGGTTGGTACAGTAAAGCCACAACGAAGGGAAATGCCTGTGTTTGACAACGACATTGCAGTTGGCGAGTGTCAGAGAAGGAAAAGTGATAACATTCTGTCAGTTCGGTGGAAAGACAAAAGAGAGGTGAACTTGTTGACAACAACAATTCATGATGGAACAATGGTGAACAGTGGGAAAGTGAGCCATAAAACAAACGCACCACTATATAAGCCAGACTGTGTTTTAGACTATAATATCAACATGCGGTTGATTGATAAATCAGACATGATGATTGGCACTGCAGAGTGTGTGCGGAAGACATGTAGGTGGACGAAAAAAGTGTTCTTCCATCTTGTGGACATGAGCATGCTGAACTGTTTCAACATGTACCTTGTGAGAACTGGACGTAAGCCCACTTTCCGTGACTTTGTATTTGATGCTGCAATACAGTTATTAGGAAAGTTTGCAAAAGATGTCCCAGGTATTCAGCGGCCCATCATAAACCCACTGTTGCAGCATGCTGGTACTCCACGCCTCGCTCACACTGAAGGCTTCCTAGCACACAAACTTAAGTATTTGCCACCTGGTGTGAAGCGTCCAATAGCCCAACGTGATTGCTTGGTGTGTAAAACAACGACACGTAGAGACAAGAAACGGAAGCTTGTGCAAACATGGTGTGAAACGTGTGGTATCCCATTATGTGCTGTCGACTGCTTCAATGACTACCACAGTCTAGAAATCTTCTAAGTGTGCTTCAAAGTGTGTATAGCGTGTGCGAGTGTGTAAATATGTAAACATATAAGCAGATAGCGTGTGCGTGTGTGTAAATATATACAAATATAAGCAGAACATACAATATAATAGACTGTAATGACATATTATATTGCCGTAATTGAAAACATTTGTGTGCGCCTGTGTATACTCAAATATGCAACAATTATTGATACAAAATATGTTCAAACAGTATTTGAAACACAATTAGTGAAAAAAAATTAGATAAAATGCGCTTAGACATTGTAAATAAATAGCGCGAAAATATATTTGTGGCAACTCTGGCTGTTTGAGGACTGCGCGCAACACCTCCCGGGCGTGTACTGCATGAGCGAACATGCAGATTGTGACGTCATCACAGAGCTTCTCGGCTCTATTGCAACAAAAGTAAGTACAATAGAATTTTTTTTTTATTTTTCCCGTGATCAGTGAACAGAACTTAACAGATTAGCATCAGATTCAAAATGACATGCGCCTGTGCGGATGGCAAGATATTAGACCCCGAGCATGTTAAGGGTTAATCGACTGAGCTACGACATGGTCAAAAGGAGTTGAAACCGAAGTTCTACTGAACTTACTGGATCCTGCAGCCTCTCCGAGGCACAAGCCAGGGTTTTACACAACTCCCCACATGCACTCGAGCTATGTCAATAGGCCGTTCTCCCTCTTTGCCCTTACTTCATTACACACAGAAATAAAACTTGCGTGATGCATCAAATGAACAAATCCACTAGGGCCGTGACGAGGATTAGAATCTGCGTCCGAGAGCATCCCAGACGCTGCCTTAATCGACTGAGCTACGACATGGTCAAAACTTCTTTTGAGTTCGAGTGCATGGGGGGGGGGGGGGGAGTTGTGTAAAACCCTGGTTTGTGCCTTGGAGAGGCTGCAGGATCCAGTAAGTTCAGTAGAACTTCGGTTTCAACTCTTTTTGACAATGTCGGAGCTCAGTTGATTAAGGCAGCGTCTGGGATGCCTCTCGGACACAGGTTCGAATCCTTGTCACGGCCCACACAACAAGCCTAAAATATAGAACAGAATACAAAACAAATGCCCCCTGCAAGAACAAGTCCAAAGATGGCCAGCAATTAACTTAAAGCAAAGGGGGCTTGTCACGTCTGAAAGACCCGGAACACTACTGTCCATAGGATATCAGTGGAAGAACTGGGTACGGTGGGTGGGTGTGTGCAGGAGCCAGGTCATGGTATTTGGTACTATGAGTTTTGCACTAATTTTGAATACTTCTCTCATTCTGTTTGAATCATTTGCAGAGTTGTTTGGTGATATCAAGGATTCAGACTCTGAAAATCCTCCAGTTTTCTGTAAAGTTTAACTAACGTTCTGGTTGCTTTTTCAATGTAATGGCAAATTGTCACTCACTCTCTGCACCTTTGTGAGGAGACCAGGTTTTGGGTTGATACCTGGTTGATACCTGGTTGATGGGGTTCTGGGAGTTCTACTCCCCAAGCCCGGCCCGAGGCCAGGCTCGACTTGTGAGAATTTGAGTTTGATCCCTGGTAAGCCAAACTGAATTCCCACGTCTGATATGATCCATTTGCAAAGAGAAATTTCAAAGAGATAGCTTCTAGAAGTCATTGGGGGCTTTTTCTAGGAAAATATCCATGGAGCTACATCACTCAATTCAAAAGCAGCCATACTTCTTTTCTCAAACTGAAGTACAATATTTTAAGTTTCAATTTACTATGAATAGGCATTCTTTAGACACTGAATAGAAACCTGTCTGAAGAAATGCAAATACTGCAATGCCAAAACTGAGAATACCTGATTACACACAGAAATCACAATAGCATAATGCATCAAATGAGCAAATCCACAAGGACCGTGACCCTTGTGGTCATAAACCCTCATCACGGCCCTTGTGGATTTGTTCATGAGAATACCTGATAATTTGGCTAAGTAAAACCAAATGGGCATGGAGATAAAAAAAAAAATTACATTGCTTTAACTTATTCACAAAGTTACAAAACGGAAAATAAAATGAATACTCACTTCTAGGCTGCAGATTTTGTCACCACTAGAAAATGAACCTATACTATCAGAGGAATTGCCAGAGGAGCCCGAGTCTGAGCCGGGTCCAGTTGACTTGATCCACGCTACACACCGAACAGGAGTTGGTGAATTATCTGTCAAGTTAATAGACACTGAGATCTAGGGAAGTACAGCAACCTAACATCATTATGACAACATTATATTACATGACTGATACAACCAAACAGAACAGACACATTTGAGATTTCTTACAGGATGGAGAAGAGTGTTAGCGAGAGTGCTCATTCTGTCAATACATTACTGACTCCTTTCAACATGTGGATCACTTCACTAATTTCTAGATTTGTTCTAGATTTGTCATCCTTCCTTACCCTTTCATACTCTACAAGCAATATTATCATCCACCACATTCTCGCATGATCCAAACCATTGCTAAGTACTTCTCTGAATACACAACCTTGTACTTTTGGCCTCTGCCATCCCACATCTATAGTCCTCAAATTTTACTCTAATACCAATATACCTTTTTTTTAAATTCAAATAAATATACAGGTACAAGGGTCGGACATTCTAAAAAAAAAAAAAAACAAGTGTTGAATGTAATTAAACGCCATTTTCTAGGTGAGCCCCGGAGGCTCCCTGGAGCTATAGGACTGATATATGCTATATTAGTCTGGGGCTTCAGTCAATGGAGTTCTGCCTACCGGGGACCACGAGCCAGAACCTGGCCCCTCAGAGAGGCACAGGGAGCAATGGCCTAAGGAAACCCCCCTTGTATTCCCCCCATATATTTGTAATATTCCTTTGTAATACCCCAGATATTGGGGGTATTCCCTGTCTGTCATCGACTGGGATTAGGCACCCAGAAAGGTAGGCATCTTAAAACAAACCTCACATGATAGGAAACTGCAAAAAACCCAAGACCGAACAGAGAAACAGAACTCCCAACAAGAAAACAAGGAAAACAAGCAAACATCAAACGCTTGTCCATGCAACTACCTGGACCCCCTCCCCCACCACCTGCCCAGCTCCTCAGTTCCCTGTAAGTACAAGATCTTGTTTCTTTATTATTGTATCTCTGTGTTGATCTGATTGGTCAACCACAGTTCTCACCTTCTCATACCTGACACAGGTATAGGTGGAGACATCCGACGGTGAATGCGTGTTTATCTGTGTGGTATCACGACATTACACTTGTCTGTGAATGTGAGCTTCACATACACCACACATTTAGTTATTGTGTGACATAATTATTGTGCATGTTTATTGCCTGTCCCATTGACAGTGCCATTGTGATTTATTGTGCATCATCATTACCCGAGTATCCAGTTGGAACTCTTGTGATCCCTTTGCACACCGGTAGTTAGGTTTGCTGTGTTAATGATTGGCGGTCAATTGTGTTAAGTTAAGTGTTTCTCCACAAGTGGATCCGAATCGATTAGCCAGACGTAAAGAGTCTCACTAATGCAATCATAGCTTTTCTGACGCCAATCTAAAGTAAATCAAGCCCCTTTGTATTAGCGGTAAGTTAGTAAATAAACTACTGTTAAGCTTTATGCGGTGTTTCCGTTGAACCACTTCTAAATACTGCCAACTATTACTCAAGCCTTCAGCTCCTGGTGTCTTCAACACCAAGTTGCCTATTATTCACTAAACTATAAATGTGATGAGGACCCATGGAGTCTCTCAAAGTGTTTCAAGCATTGAGGAGATTCCAATGATCAACATGGACCAGGACCAGGTGAGGCTAGTCTGAGAAGAGACCCTCAAGGACTCTTAACTCGATCTTGCTTCCAGGCCCTGTACGGTTGCTATCGTATTTTCTCTGCTGGATTCCGATAGCTTCGTGAAGTGTCTGCCACATGTACATTGGTGACATACGCATTGCAGTCGGGAAAGAGAAATAGAAAACCCCTCAACAGCCGTCGCTATGTATGCGTACTGCACAGCACCTTGCACCCCAACCAGCACAACAATTCCTACTCAGGGCAAAACAAAGACCACAAAACTGCAGGTGGCCCCAACAGTGGGATAAATGCAGAGCAGCAGGAACCCCCACGGAAGTGAAGGTCCGAAAGTCCTAGGGAAGGCAACCCTAGAACCCAAGAGTAGTACTTACAGGATGTTTACGGAAGGCAGCCCTAAGTGCATATAGACCCAGTACACTACGTTACTCCTGGCCAACGTGCCATAAACAGCAGGAAACACCACAAGGACTCAAAATCATGCAGAAAACCAAGGCCAGAGTTGACAAATGGAGTACTTCAAGCCTACGAACTGAAGAGCTGGGCAGACGGCGTGGGGGTCCAAGGCTCCCCCTCCCACTCATAGGGGGTTGGGAGGAGCTGCAGAGACAAGTGGCGCGGCGGTGGTTAGCGTTTTCCTTGTTTTCTTTTGGAAGTTCTGTTTCTCTGTTTGGTCTTGGGTATTTTGCAATTTCCTACCATGTGGGGCTTGTTTTGAGATGCCTACCTTTCTGGGTGCCTAACCCCGGTCGATGGCAGACAGGACATACCCCCAAATACAAGGGGGTTTCCCTAGGCCATTGCTCCCTGCGTCTATCTGAGGGGGGCCAGGTTCTGGCTCGTGGTCCCCGGTAGGCAGAACTCCATTGACTGAAGCCCCAGACTAATATAGCGTATATCAGTCCTATAGCTCCAGGGTTCCCCACAGAAAAGCCTATATCTTAAGACAAGATAATGTAAATTTTGCCAAGCCATAAGTAACACATAAGGATACTGTATATGTAAAATACATGAATGAGCAAATTCATCACCTTCTACACCAGATGAGGTAGTTTCTAAGGTACACGCCGGGGCCCGCTTTTTTCGTTGCTTGCCCACAGCACATTTCTCTTCCCATGCTTTGTAATCATCCTCCCAACTGGGGCTCTCGCCTTCCTCACCCTCAATAAACCTGGAAGGTGGTCCATCCTTGGGTCGTGCCCCACCTAAGGGTTGGGACGGGGAGAGGCTTAGACGAACCATGGACCCTTCCACATCAGCTCCTGATATTCCTGAAATAATTAAATAAATTTGTAACTGATCAAAATTAATAAATAAATAAATAATAAATAACCCTCAAGATGAATCTCAAGCATACACCACAAACTCCTTCACTGCAAAGCCCTGATCACATTATACTTCTTTTCTCAGTTCTCCCAGTTTTTGGCTAAAGTTGTAATATGAGTGGTCAACTTTGTCCTTTCCATAAGGAAAAGGCAAAGAAACTCACAGTTTTCTAAAAGCTCAAAGTTTTCTAAACAAATGGTTTAAAGGCAACTATGCCTAATTATTTATCTAAGTAATTATTAAATGTTACATATAGTACTCAATTGTAATTGGAACCAAGGTGGTCAGAAGGGAGAACATATTCTGCAGTGTATCTAACAGGACTCCTCTACATGAAGATGACTGAAATATCTATGGAAGTGGAGTGCTGAGCTCAGATATGCATTCTCTCATAACCCAAGGAGAAACCCCATCTGAGTCCACTTCCTTCTTTCTACCCAGCACCTGAAGCATTTTTTCACTTCACCTTGAGTCACCTCTATGTACTGTATGGTATTCTCTAAAATTCATACTGTGTGTTTCTCTAAGACTTCATTTTACACAAATGCACTTTGGAACTGTTCATTTAGTGTTTGACACATTTTCTTTTTATTCTCCATAAATCTATTACCCTTTTCTATTTCTGAATGTTATCTTTTACATGTAATTAAAGGATAAATTATTGCACTTATCTGCAATCCCCTTCTCAAAGTTTCTTTCTAACAAGTGAGGCCTTGGGAGACTCCACTTGTTAACACTTTCGCCCGGGCATGACGCAGCATTGCGTCATCCGTTTACTGTCAGTAATACCGGGGATGACGCAGCATTGCGTCATCCACTTTAAATAATCGCCAATAATCAGGTTTTTATCCGATTTTTTTGGGACTGGTTTTAAAATGTGCGCCGATGTCTTCCCATTTTCTATGTTGAGCCTCGTGGCCCTCAGGTCGCTTGGCACATGCCGTGGGCCCATTGTTTTCGCTCCACTGTTGTGACCAATGTCACCTCTCCTCGCATCTCAAACGTGTGAACATTTAGGCTATTTTCCGTGGCTATATTTCTTACTGCGGCTTTAGAAACTATCTACCCTTACTCCACAATGGATAGTGATCATGAACAAGGCCCTTCCAGGAAGAAAATTGCGAAAGAAAGGCTTGAAAAGGGAGGGAATTGGGAGTGTAGCTGGAAGGCGTCTGAGCACTCACTCCCGGCTAACGCGTGGCCCATCTTCAACTCGTCGGCGGTTGGAGCGTGACCAGGTTTTATATTTTATATGCTAATGTTCCTCTAGAGAATTCTATTGCGAACCCATTGAGACCAAAATGAAAGACCTAGGACAAAAATTGAGGTGACCAGAGTGAAAATAGTGAAAACATTTTATCGCGTTTGCGCGCTCCTGGGTAACTCGTTCGCACTTTCTCTGTTTGCTGCGGGTAATTAGCCGGGCTTTTGGAGTTTATATGCATTTAGTGCTGTAGAGAATTCTATTGCGAACACAATGATACCAAATTTAATCTCGTAGGACGAGAATTAAGGTGACAAAGTTGAAGAGAGTATACACTTTTCAGAGTTTACGCGCGCTCCCGTGACACCCTGGGTCCCATATCGCACTATTGAGGGGTGGCGTGCGGGGTGAGCGAAAGTGTTAATCCTTCCAACTCAAAATCTTTCCTCTGACTGTGACACTTTGTTTCATCAGGCCCATCAGGTACTCTGTAACCTACTTCTGTGTTTTCCCAGTTACCCCAGCGTGTTTCTCCATCTTGTTCTCCAGCCTTTCATGATGGGTTGGTGGTGATGTGTTGAGGTATGCTGTAATGTTGTGCAGTGGTGGTGCAATACTTATTTATCGGTGAATATGGGGGGGTTAGATCTAAGTCTTTAGGCTATTTGTACATACTGCTTCTTGACCAAGTTCAGTGTAATGTTTGCAACTGAAGCTGTGGACAGAAACTGGATGATAAGGTTTTGGTGGTGTGCTAACCTATCAGTGCTCATTATTCCTGGTCACTAAGTTTTTTGTACTTCGGCCATTTTTAAATCCTTTGATTGTATTTGCTCTTAAAGTTGTTGACAAAGGCAGCTTTCAAAATATCTTACAAAGTAGTCCATTTGTTGATAATCCATACAGTGTACTTCTTTTTGTTTCTTTTACCAATTTACATTTCTAGCTGTCAGGGATGATCTTGTCCAATTTTCTCTCAATTTAATGTAGCTATCCTTGTCCACCTTGTTAATACCCATTGGTATCTTATATTTTGTGATCCTATTTCCTCTGCTCCTAATCTCCACTGGGGTTGTTAGATTATATATAATAAAATGTCCTCAAAATAACTGAGAATATGCTGTGGTACCCTGTGACCATATTTTAAGACTAAGTATGAAGCTTTTTAGTTCCTGAGAGAAGGAATAAGTTATGACAATACTATGGAAAGATGGGTGGCATTAAGGCAAGATGAGAGTGCAATGATAATATCTCACACTAAATTAATTAAGAACATTAATTAAAATAGAGGAAATTGTAGATTTGAGAAATGGAGGACATAACAAAAAAAAATGAGATGGATAGTTATGATGTGAGACAATTTGATAGATCCATGAACAATGCACACATAGTAGTAATAATTTGGTCTTAGTGGAAGCAGTTGCAAGTATGTTGTGAGATGGAATTGTTATAATTAATTTTATATAATTAAGTACTTACTTATTTTACTCCTAGTCTTTGATACTATTAGGAACAAATTATATTATGGAAAGACAAATGTTATTTGGAAAATCTTAAAATTTCTTTTCCTGCAGTACTGTACTTTCATTCAGTAAAGCAGACTTGAAAAATAGGTTTTCTAAACACCACAATTTGTGCATACTTAAGACACAAATGTGTCACCTAATGAAAAATAAATATAACAAACCTGAAGAATGCTGTCTCTGCAAACACTGCTGTGAAGCTTGTTGATGCATAGAGCCTGCTGTCTGATTTGGGCGGCCAGCATGTGGCACTCCCATGTGAATTCCCTGCATTGGAGGTAATGTAATCGTGCCACCAGAAACTGTGCTCCCACCAGGAGACTCTGCAACTCGAATACTGCCTGATTCACCATCAACTCCACTACTGCTCGTCTGATGACATGTGGAATACATTTGAAAATTATAATCAGTAAAAAAAAAAAATAAAGCAAGCACTTCAGATATGTAATTACAATACATTATATTACAGAACATGATACCATGTATGCAATTATTTAAGTACAGACAGCCACGTGCTTTGTGAACGCCATGTATCTAAAACTTTCAATTACCCCATTAGGGTTGGTTTGGATACTCAGGTTTGGGAAGCACGAGGTTCGCATAAAATAGTTTGGGTATCTCATCGGGCAAGCGTCCTTCAGGCTTCACGGAACGGGGTGGTGGGGAAGTGGTTGGGTGGGACAAGGGCCTAGTTTGCCCACTAACATTGTCGAGCACAACTCTAGTGCCTTCTACCCTGTGACGTCACAGATTCATGGCCCATTGTTCCCATTTTTTTTTTATTTGTCATGAGACTGGAGTGTTCTTAACTCTACAAATGAGGTGGTAGTGGTACTGGGAATATAAAAAGAAAAAAAATAGAGAAGATACTTAGTTATTATTCTAATATATAAACTGCCAGATGCAACGGCTGAGGAATTCACAGAGCAGATGAGCAAAATAGAGAATAGTCTTGATAATTTGGCGAACCCGATACCTGATAGTATCTTCCGAGGTGACTTCAATGTGCCTAATCTAAGATACAGAATAGCAAACAATAACATTATACCAGAAAATCTATAAGGACATAACCAACCACAGATTAGAGAATTGCTTAGATTCTGTGACAAATTCTCACTCACCCAGCAGATATCAGAGCCAACTAGGAACGAGAATATTCTAGATCTGGTCTTCACGTACAATGAAGACATAATCGGGAACATTATGATCTCAGATACCACATACTCAGATCACAAGCTCATTGAAGTGCAAACTACCATCAATACTCGTAAGAGACCTAAAACAATGATCAAACGAGAGGGGTTGTTCAGTAAATTTAATTTTAATAATAGGATAGACTGGGAGAAAATAAACAGGGAACTTACAAACATTCCATGGGAAACTGTTCTAAGTAAAAAAAAAATACTACAGAAGGAATAGAAAAACTGACTTCGGAAGCATATAAAGTCTGTTTGAAACATGTTCCTTTGAGGAAAGCCAGAAAGAGGTTCAACATAAAATGAGAATGCAGATGACATTATAAAAGAAGGAAAAAACCTGCATTGAATGTAATGAAATGCTATTTTCTGGGTGAAACCAGGAGGCTCCACGGAGCTATCCAGGCTGATATGGATATATTAGACTTTGGCATCAGTCAATGTGAATGGAGTTCTAGGCCTACTGGGGACCACGAGCCAGAACCTGGTCCCCTCAGAGAGGCACGAGAAGCAATGGCCTAAAGAAATGCACATGTGGTTATGGAGCATTCTATGTCTGCCATCAACCGGGTCAGGCACCCAGAAAGGTGAGCATCCCAAAACAAACCTCTATTCTGGTTGAAACTACATACTACTGAAAGTCACACGAGTAAACAGAACTCCTTAAATGAAAATGAGCATAACAAGCATGACGTCACCATGTCGCCGTGCCGCTAGTCTGCACAACCCCCCCCCCCTCCCAGGGAGGACAAAGGAGAGAGCCCCAGACCCTCTTGTCAGCGATCCACCCTGCAGTTCCGAGGCTGGATATCAAAACACATGAAAAACTGCCGACCAGAGGGAGGGAGGGAGGGGTTGCCGTGGAGCTCCGGGTCTCACCCAGAAAATGGAGTTTCAATACATTCAATGCTCGTATTCTGGGGGAGGGAGCCCCTTCGGCTCCCCGGAGCTACTTCACCAAAGATAAGGAAAAGAGGGACGCACCCAGGAGGAGTACGCGTACCTCAAAAAGAAAGCAAGACAACCAATGGCACCGAAGGACCCAGCAAACAACCAAGGAACCCGAACCAAGGAACATGTAAGAATGGAAACCGGGGCAACCCAAAGCGCATTCCCAGACATAGAAGCCGAGCGCGCCAACAACGGCAGAGAGCTGCACCCCTGGCCTAACCAACCAGGCATCAACAACCCAAGGACCCCAACGGAAAGCACATGACTCATTCTTCGCAGAAAAGAAGGACACAGCTGCAAATGAACAAACAAATCACCAGAGCCAAAAAGTGCAGAAACCCCTGCGCTGGAGGAGAGCATGAACCTCCCCAACCAGACCCCCAAAGGCCAATGCCAACAAGAAAAGAGCCGTAGAGAAACAATCCTGAACCAAAGGGGTCACAACAAACCAAGTGGAAGAGAGATAAGCGAGCACCCTGTCCAATGACCAGGACGGCTCAGGCGATGCATGAGCAGGCTAGAGGTGAAACAACGCCAGAGACATCTTGTGAAACGGCGCAGAAGGAACACGATTGCCGAAAGCAAGCTGCAGCGGCTCCGCCAGTACCGGACAATACGAGGCGACAGTATGCAGCATAAGAAGACGGTCCTGAAACAACCACGAGAGAAAGGACAAGACAACCTTAACGGAAAGCGAAGCACACCTACGAAGAGACAAAAAGTTTGGAAGAACCACCAGGAAACTTCATAATGCTACCAAGACAAAGCACGCAGGTAGGACACCATTAACGAAACCACCTGATCACCATACAGATGAGGATAGACTCGAGTCAAAACACCAGACGCGAAGACTTGAGGAGAAGATTGAACCAGCCATGCAATGGACTGGACCGATCTGCTGAAAGAGGCAGAGCCAAGGGAAAATCCATGGGTTCGGACAGCGAGCAAGCTGCGCCTGAAACCAAGGCTGGGCCGGCCACCAAGGGGCCAAGAGGACTACTTTCCCCAGGAACGTCTCCAAGTGAGCTAGAACCTGGAGCAACAGCTGAACTGGGGGGAGGAGGTACATGTAACCCCACCTCAATCAGTCCTGCCGAACCCCGAGAACTCAGCAGATGAGACACCCAAAGCAACCAGCCCTAAAGAGTCAAGTACAGCATTGAACCCCCACGGTTCAGGCAAAGAGCCACCGACAGAGCAGCCCAAATGGAGCCCGATCGTCGATCCACGAGCGACCCCCGAACCCTCTGAAGTGACATCTACATCACGCTGTGGGCCCGACAGAAGGACGGATCCGACTGCCCCTGGCCGGCCTGGTGAGCACTGACCACAAAGCCCCAGCCAAGACACGACTCGTCGTGAATACAACGAGTAAGGGCTTGGGTAGTAGGCGCCAAGGCACTGAATCCCAAAAACCCTGAAGAAGCCGGCAACGCAGCAACAGACGCAAAGTGCCCAGAGGTTGAACAAAGCATTCACGAGAGAGGCAGAAGGGATGTCCCCGAAGGATCCAGAACAGCCGATGAAGCCAAACCTGACCCGGCGAGTAGACCATCATGGCAAAGTTCAGGCTCCAGCACAAACCCTTGAGCAATCACAGCATGACCCAGGAGCCCCTTAGAATCAGATGAAGACGGGAACCCAGGCGAAACAGAGCCGCCAGAGGAAGAGACAAGGAAGCTGTCCGAGCGTCCAATACAAGACCTAGCCAAGACCGAACATGAGAGGAAATTTCCGCCTGTTCACCAAGAACCCGAACCCGGAGAGCTCGGAAAAGAATCAAATCCCTGGCGAGCAGACATGTGGACTGGCTGGGAGCCCAAACCAGTCAGTCGTTGAGGTTGGCCAGAACCCGAACACCTAAAAGATGCAGGCGGGCCACCACGACCCGAGTAAGTCATGTGAAAACGCGAGGTGCCAGATTCAAGCCAAATGGAAGGCAACGAAAGCAGTAACCTAGATGCCCCACAACAAAACCGAGCCAGTCTCCTAACCTCGGATGAATTGGGACGTGCCAATACGCGTCCTTAAGATCCAGGGAAACCATCCAAGTGTCCGGCTACAACTGAAGACGGACCTGGGACAGTAGTCATCCAAAAGGAGGAGCTACAGGTTCAGACGGGACAGGTCCAGAACGAACCGAAGGTCCGCGCAGTCCCATTTTGGAACTGGAAACTTGTGGGAGACGAGGTCGTGTCGACCACGCTCAAGCGAACCCACTCCAAAATGACCCGACAGAGCGCAGGAGAAGAGGTCTGCCCTGCCAGCCCCGAAGGAGGAAGAGCCACCCAATGCCACCACAGGTCACACGAAAACACCCGAAAGGTCCAAAAATTGTGGGACCAAGCACGAGCAAACAGAGCAAGCCTCCCCCCCATCGCCCCATCAATGGAATAAATCGCAAAAGGGCCGATGCACCTTACAAGAACCTAAAGGGTGCACAGGGTGATCGCCGTGTCGACCAGAAAATGACAGTACCAAAGACTGCTCCTGCGGCGAATCTGGCACCACTGACCTACCACGAAGGGAAGAACCCTGAGCCCTGGCACGACCCTTATGAAAACGGATCCCCCCCCCACGAGCCCCCAAGGAAGACTAACAATATGACGGCAACTAGCTAAAGCTGCCTGCAGATACTGCACAACTGCAGACTCTGCAAACAGCAACAAACAAAAAGGCGAAGATAACCTAAGAGCCAGGGGCCCAAGCAGATTACAAAGAAGAAATGAGCACAGCCTCCGACACGCGAGTCGAGAAGCAAAAAACCGCGAAACCGCATCCCGCAGGAGCAGCGCGAACAGCTTCAACCATTCAGAACACCATGAGGCCATAGGTGGCCTCAAGCTCCTCCACATCCAACTCAAGCCAATCCGAAGACAGTTTGAGGAGGCAGAAGAAATGCAAGGTCAAAGCCAGCAAGCCACGTGTACGCAAATCCTCTGCCACTAAAGCAGCCGAAAGGGAAGAATCCTGCACATGAAGCTGTATCACACCAACATCCTGCGGAAGGGCAGGGGGCAAACAAACAAGCATTAAGATGCTCAAATTCGACCCCAGGAAAACCTGCAACACCGTCTGAGCCTCCCTCCACTCAAGTGCGCGGGACTGACAAAACGTATGCCAAGCCTCCAACAAGAAGAGCGGGCAGTCTGCTAGTCAGGACAACTCCGGAACATCATAACGAACCCAGTACGGACACGAAGATCCATACACAAAGGACTGCGGATCCATCATGAAAGCATAATCCGGGTCACGCAGGAGGTAAGCCGCAAGGGCTTCCCGCACCACATGTGACGAACGTGGGACATCGAAAACCGCCAGAAAGACGGAACCGAGGAATCCACGGGATCATGGAACCGAACCCGGGGAGGGGTAGATGCCAAATCCAATTCGTACAAGGAGTGCGAAGGAGAACCCCTCTCCTTGTAACACCAAGCCCGGCTCCGAGGGTACAAAAACCCAGGCGAGTTCCAATGGGGCCCAAGGCCCCCAAGTCAACTCCCCTTCCCCTGCCACGGGAACCTCACTCCGAGGACCTGGGGCAGCACCATTGTCCAAACACCCCGCCTCTAAAGGCAGGAGCAGTCAAAAAAGCAGGAACGAAGGGGGCCCGCTGGTCAGATGCGGAAGCTCTGGCAGGAGGACTAGGCTCGAATGCCTCTGCTGCTACCCCGAAAGGGGACTCCCCCGAGACCGCCCAAGTCTCAACACCAACTACACCTGCCGATGCTGAATTCCCAGCAACAAATCGTGCAGCATCCGCTAACGATGATATAAAATATGATTGAAATGCATATAAATTAGTGTAAAAAGTGTTGATGGAGTACAGTATTGTAAGTGTTAATGAATAATTAAGCCTTGACAAAAAGATATACTGTACACAGTGTAAATAAAGAAATAAGTTTAAATTGTACAAGTGGGTTACAGCTGTTAACATTTTTTTTTATTAAAGTGCAGTGCATTACTCTTATGCAAATCCCAACCCCCACTAGAAAACCAAGCCGAGAGTAAACCAAGCTAACAAGAGCAACCACCTAAGAAGGGACAGGAAAAGGAAGGACCGCCAAAATACCCCATACTGCCGCCAAGAGAAGCACGCAGGTGGGACACCTACCACGAAGCCACCCGACCACCAACCGGAGGCGAGACCGCGAGGCAGAACATAAGCAGCCCCGACAAGGCCCTTCCGAGCCCAGGAAAAGGCGGAGCCGCGGGAAGATCTCGGGCGCGACCACCGAAACCCAGGCGCACAAGGAGATGGAACGTCTGCCGAACAGAAAAAACTCCCCAAAGCATGCAAGCCCGCCAGGAGTTCAGAAACGACGGGTCCGACGCGAGACATCGCAAGACTCCCCCCCCCCCCAAAAAAAAAACAGCAGGGCAAGCTAGGAAACCAAAGAAGGCGGAAGGTTCGCCGCCAGAACAGTACCCGAACCAAGGGGTACGAACAACTGCAATAGACCGAGACAAAGAAGCACATCACAGGACACAGGCTGAAAAACGCCCAAGAACACACGTTCTTGGGCGTGGAACACACGCCCAAGAACACACCCCTGCTACAGAGGAGGCAGGAAGAAAGAGCAGAAGAACAAAAACCCCAGAAAAACAACCAGGGGTGGACAATCAGGCAGGGACAGAAAACCCCCAGGCACAAAACAGCAGCAAAATGCCACACCACAACCGGACACAGGAACAAGGACACACCACCGTGAAACACGGTACCAATGCACACGTGCAGCAGCAGCAACAGGCACCACTGCAACATGCAACATGTAAATAGCAACTCCCTTCTGTAAAGGCAGAGAAACGGAGCAGGCAGACCCCAGACAGGGCCAACGGAGACAAGACAAAACCCAGCAGGCCCAGAAACCTGCACCAGGCGACCGACGGCGGAGAAACCCCGCTCGATACCTGCTGGATGGGGTACTGGGAGCTCTTTCACACCCCAAGCCCCTGCTGCCCGCACCCGCTTTGTCAGCACAACTGGGTAACCGAGCCACAACGAGCAACCAAACTCGCAGGACTCCGGGTCGAAGATGTCACCGACCCCACAGGCAGCAGACGGAGGCAAAACAGTCACCCAGAGACAAAGGGTGAGAGCAACCTTCAAACTCGCTGGAAGCGAGGGGGGGGGGGCTCTGGGGTCACATCCATCGGACCCGCGCGCCTCCAGGGGTTTCCCAGGGTCCCGAGCGTTTACTATAAGAGGACTCGCGCTCAGGTAATCCCAGGCAGGGTACTGCTAACCGGCACCCAAAGCTACCAAACAACTTTCTAAGAGCTGAACCCCCAGGACGTGGGGGTTCAGGACACTCACGGGGACCTAGCAGGGGGTACCACCAGAAAATACTCAGAACACAAGGGACACAAGGCACAAGAACGAAGGCAGACCCCCCACCAGGTAGATAAACAAAAAGAAAAAGAAAACCCCGCAAGAGGACAGCGTACCCAAGTGGAACAGAGCCGGCCGCTATGATTGGTAACGACAAGCTGCACAGTACCCTGCGCCCCACCAGTGCAAAAACTGCCCCTTACTCTAAGGCGAACAAGGGAGACAGAACCCCCGAGCACACAAAGAGCGGCCGAAAACCAAGCAGTAAACGGCCAAGCAGGGGCAGGACCCAAGGAACTTGTGGAAGGTGGCCCCAAGCCCCAAGGACAGTACTTACAGGGCACCTAGGGAAGGGAACCCTAGGCGCATGCAGCCCGAGTACTGGAGAATCACTCCCGGCTCACGCACCACCTAGAAAACAGACACCACACTCTAGGTACAGTGCTGAAACAACCACTGGAGCCAGAGCACATAACCGGTGCCTATAGCATCAGCCGAGGAACTGATGGGTGGATAGCCGGCGTGGGAGGTCTGGGGCTCCCCCTTCCCACTCCCGGGAAGGGGGGAGCTGCGCAGACAGCGGCGCGGTGACGTATGACGTCATACTAGTTTCCTTGTTTTCTGTTGATGAGTTCTATCCACTAGTTCGGCTTTAGGTAGCAATTTTCACCAGAATAGGGGTTTGTTTTGGAATGCTTACCTTTCTGGATGCTTGACCCGGTCGATGGCAGACATAGAATGCTTCCTACCACACGGGGGTTTCTATAGGCCATTGCTCCCCTTGCCTCTCTGAGGAGGCCAGGTTCTGGCCGTGGTCCCCTGTAGGCCCTAGAACTCCATACACATGACTGATGCCAAAGTCTGACATTAGCATATCAGCCGGTAAAGCTCCGGGGAGCCGACGGGGCTCCCCCCAGAAATACATTACCTGTACTGTACAGGGTTAAAACAAAACATCTCTAAAATTTTATTGAGGAAAACATTAACAATCATTGCTTGATAGACACAAAATATTTTGCAATACAGAGGAATGAACCAATTTTTTTCCACCCTTCTTGACTTGATCAAACCGTGTTCACTCTTCATTTATGCAGCAGCCAACAGCTGGCTTAATCATCGTCGCTGCACTAACTAGGGATGCAATTACACAAAATTTTTTATTTCATTTAACCCTTTAACTGTGCGGCCTATAAATATGACATTCCCCCTCCCCCACAAGTGCGCAAGAAATAAATTCTCGGGAAAAAATAATTTTTTTGTTCTGAAAGTGTCAAAAACCCCTCCCTGTATATGGCTATAGCAACGGCATTTCGAAATTGTACTTATTTTGGCTGCTATGGGGTCTGTAAGCTGGCGCGTGACGTCATCATTCCCCATGCGCCCGTGCTGTAAGCCCCCGGGGCCGGTGGGGTGCCCGGGGCAGGGGGCGCGAGTTGCGGCGAATATATTTTTGCAAATTTTTTGCACACATTTCCAAATACAATTTATTACATTTTACGTGCCGAACCGATGTATGGTGATCACGTACACTATAATAGCAGTTAAAGGGTTACATTATATAAAATATATATTACCTGATTGTTACTTGAAATATTACCAACACTTCAACAACTTCAGAAATACTGCACCAAAGTCTCGCATTTAACGACATGGAAACAGCCCCATATAAATCGTTAAATCGGGTGGATACTGTAATTATATCAATCTTACCTGACAAGGAGCATTATTGACATAATATGTGGGTAAGGAAGGAGCTTTATACATCTGATGGACTTCCTTATCCAGAAGCTTGTCCATAATGCGAGCCAGTCGATCTTGGTCATCCTTGTAGTGTGTCAAGAGAGTAAGTGCTAACTCTCCTCTCTGGTAAGTAAATAAAAAAAAAAAGCATTGAATGTAATGAAATGCCTCTTTCTGGTAGAGCTCCAGTGGCTCCATGTAGCTATCTTGTTGAGATTGCTCTATAATACAAAGTTACATCAGTTGTTGGAGTCTTGTTTGGCCTAACAGGGTTATCAGAGGCAGAACCTGGCAATATCACAGTGGCATAGAGAGCAAATGACATTCCATCATTTCACCGGGAACGTAGCCAGAAAGTTAGTAATATACTGAGGAAAGATTCCAGAAGCAACTAACTGCTGCCCAGCTGGAATTTTCAACTTTCCCCTGACTGCTACTTGAGCCCATACGAATTAGTGATCCACTCCACGTCATATAAATTGTAAACCACACTACCGTGGAAATAAACATGGTTTGAGTCTCCAAGTGCCCAGGTGAAAGAAATGTTCATTTCCATGGCAGTGTGGTTGACAATTTATATATGAACATGTATATAATTTAGTTTCAAGTAAACTATTTTTTTATTTAAATAGGTTGGGGAGTTTTTGGAAGTTTCCAGGCTTCAGTTCTTGTGAACCCAGCAGTTGTCAGAAAAGTTTTGCTGACTTTCTAGGTGCTTTTCCAGTGAAATGACAGAATGCCATTTCCTCTCTGCACCTCTGTGAGGTGGCTAGGTTCTGGCTCCAGTCACAAGTAGGCCAAGCAGAGCTCCTGTGACTGATGTGGCTTTGTAGCATACAGCAATCTAAGTGAGACTGTTACAGGAAGCCACTAAAATCCTCCCACAGAAAAATTCTAATAAATGCATACAATTTTTTTTAAACACTTTAAGAAGTGAATCAATAAACTCTGAGAATATTCAGCTCAATATGTGGGAGTATATACAAGTTCCTTTTAAATTACTCAACAATGATTATAATCACTGGTGGCACATGTCCAACCCAAATGATTTCCACACCTGTCTTCTGGTGGCTTCACAGAGAAGAGGATGGTCAGCCTCACAAACATTGGCTTTCATACCAATTGCAGCAACAGCAGCATCAAAACCAAGTGTTTCATCCAGAGGCTGGCGGTAACTTTGTCCTCCAATACAACCTTTAGCTGTTCCTGAAATAGATGCTCTTGTCAGTATCATATAAATAATTTACTCCTATATCATGATACATTTACAAGGAAAATATCAGCACTGAATGTAATGAAACACCTCTTTCTGATTAGGCCTTGGTGGCTCACCAAGATAACTCCCCCTACTGACTCTCATCAGCCTTAGGAGTCCTGTATAGCTTACCAGGAACCAGAGGAGAGCCCTCTTCACAGAGGATGTTACGGACCCGAGTTCAGCGTCGTAGCACGGAGCAGTGACGACAACGCCATCTGTGAGTCCGCTCCCGAAACACCCTCCAAATGGACGACGCTATCTAGTGAGAACGGGATATACCAGCCACAGGGGCTGGATTCCCGTCTTAATCAGCTCATAACATAGCCGCTGCTGACCTCTGGTGAGGTGGCGCTTAGACAGCAACGCCATCTATGGAGTGGATAGGTGGACGTTTGTGTCTAAGCCTGTAAGTGAGGTTCCCTAGCCCCAGCACTAATGACGTGTCTGATTACAGAGTTGACCTGGGATTGCTGTAATGGACGATGGATCAGTCTACCCAAGGCAGCCAAAGTCTCTCCACGAGTTTCCTCTGAAGAAGCTGTGAGTCACCCCCTCCCCCGGACGAACACTGTTGAGAGTGTTAGCCTGTCTGTGACATGGCAGTATCAGGAATCGCCTTATCCGGGGCTGGCTGGTGGAAGAGACTAGCCACTGTGGTACTGAGAGAAGAGAGTGATCAGCGGAATCACACGAGGCTCCTGCCTAGGGCTCGCTACCCTAGTATCGGTCGTGGAGTGGCCTACACAGCGGAGCTGATTGGAACCTGCCAGCTACAGGCTGGATTGTGGTTGAAGGCCTCCACGACGGAGCACCCAGTGGGAACTGTGATTTGGCTGGCCTGTGGCCAGGGTAGATTCGCCGAGAGAATCCAAGAGGATTCATCGTGGGCCGAAGAAGAGAACCAGGGCTACTCAAAGTGCGCACCGTGGAGCATCCTGTGTCTTCAGAGGAAGACAACTCTGTACATTAAAGTGTGTTTATAACCCCGTGTGACTGTTTATATATTTATTTATGGTGGTGGTTAATAAAACATATAAATCAGAACATTTGTATCCCTCCCCCTTTAATTTAACTTGCGTTACGGAACACATCCCTTGAAAGCCTCTACTAGCTTGGGGCCGAATTCCCAAATTCTAATAACACCAGAAAAGAACCCGGTTACGCCCCAGTAGGGCCGTAACAGAGGAACAAGGAGCAAGGGATTCTCATAATCACCCTTACAGAGAAAACAAAAACCCAGTGTTGAATGTAATGAAATACCTTTTTCTGATAGAGCCTATGTGGCTCCCGAAAGCTATTTTATTGAGACTGCTCCAAGCTAATGAGCCATATCAGTTGTGAAAGTTCAGTTTTGTCAACCAGGGACCAGAGCCACAACCTGGACCCCTCGTGGCAAATCAGTGCGATTGAGGTGACTGCCCCAGGTGATTGCTCCATGAAAGCTTGTGAATTGTGACATCTTTGCAAGATTTCCATGTTTCACCACAGCCGAAGTCACAAATTAACCAGCGAACATCGTAACAATATTTATAATTTATTTTTTCTTGTGCATTTGGAGGATGTCGGCTATAAACAGGGGTGTAGTGTAAGGGGTTAAAGGTATCACTAACCCTGAAACTGCTCAGCAAAAGGGGCAGGGAAGCAAAAAATATTCGAATTATGTAACAATTATTTGAAAATATTAAACAAATCTCCAACTTACTGGCTTCAGCGTTGTGAAACTTTCATCAAAATATTTTCAGAAATTGATTTTAGACAAATTTTTTAAAAAGAACGTTTTGTTGATAAGGAGAACAGCTCCTATTAACTGGAACTGATGTATAATGCAGTAATAGAGATGCAAGCACCTGTCCAATGCACAAAGAAGAGAAATAGTAGTAAGAAGTGTCCACAAAGTGGATATACAGCTGGTGTCTTTATGGGACTGCAACTGCAGAGTAATACATAATAACAAATAATAATGAGTAAGTATGTTATTATGCTCTATTTTGTTATATATCATATAAATACATTGCCCAATGTTAATATCTGTTACTTTCATCAATGTCCAAAACTTTTTTTTAGGGAATTTTTTTTTTAAGTTTTTAGTTTTTTTCTCCTTTGTTTATTATCTGATTTTGTTGTAACCTTCACATCCTGGAGAGTGCATACTAGTCCCTAACTATGTGAAAATAGAATGAAATTGGTCGACAAAAAAATCAGTCGCATCTCAAAGAACTTGGGACTGAAATTTTTTTGGCTGATTTTTTCACAGATTTCAAACTCTATTTTCCTTGTTTCTTTAGGGTGTTTTGATGATTAGGGACCAGATTAGGGCTTTTTTACTTATATAAAGTATACCCTAAATATATTTCCTAAATCATTATAATTATTATAATTATCCCTATACTGTATTTTTTTTTTTTTGGGGGGGGGGTTATTTTTTCTTGACTGCATTTCTACACACATTGACCCACAACTTTCACATACTTGAGTATGAATGCCCAACAGTGTTTATTACAACATACAAATAAATTTATGACTTAGAACTGCCTTATTCATTGTCATTAACTTCAATTATATCAATAACTAGAATTTCAACTTACTTCAGTATCCAAAAATCTAGTATTTGACCGATTCTCATCATTTTTACATATAGTGTGCACAGCTGTCTGTTCTACAATCCCTATAGAATTGATTTTTCATAAACTCTAAATGTTTGGTGTTATAAATTTTCGTTGTCTAAATTTGCGCACATTTCAAATGTCATAATGACAATTTTCTTACAGTAAACTATACCGAAAACCTATATTCTAAATACTGTATATGAAAATGAAAATCATATGCTATTCTGAGAGCATAACACCACCAAATGAACAGTTGGTGATATTTTTATATTTTTTCAGTTGATTTCAAAATCTGAAGTTTTCAATATTCAATTTTATAATTATTTTTTATTTTCTTGTTTTTCACTGTTGTTTCACGTGTTACACTGGTATGATTTAGACAAAGTTAGAACATTTGCCTAGTATATTATGCACAAAACATTTGAAAGAGCTTCAGAAAATTTAAAAAACCAAGTTCAATGTCACACATCATATGACATTTTGCGCAGTTTAAGGATTAAGGGCTAATAACCATAAACTCCATTTAAAATTGTTATAACTTTTTTACAAGATATTCTGAATTTATTAGATGATCAACTAACTTATTTAGCACAAATATAAAACTAATCACCAAATCTTTACCACACATGGGTTAGAGTATTTGTTATCTCGGAAAACCTTATTTTTCTAATTATGGGAGATAAAACAACTTACCAGCAATAACAAGAGCATCAAAAAGGAAGGATGCCAACATCAGTGGTAGGAGTGCTTCACCTCGGGTCTTGAGCATGCCTGATCTCATCTTTTCTGCCTTGTCACGAATCACAGCCAATTCTAATGGCCCAAGAGGTAGGCGTTTAAGGAGGGCCACTAGATCACTCTCCTGGTTAGCTAATTTTACCTCAAGGGGCTAGAAAACAAAAGGAAAGGTGAAATATTGCAAAATGCTTATAAATTTATGAAGTCATTCTTTATATCCAATTAATTTCATGTCAGTTTACAAAATAACTAAAAGCCTTACAAATGTCTAAAATTTATATCAAAATTTGTATGAAGTATTGTATAATAATTGCTTAAACCTAAAATAATAAAAAATTAGATTAAAATATGATCCATGCAAATAGCAAAACACCCTACCTTTGTGGACGCTGGAGGCCGTGCCATTTCCAGGCCAAACATGGCTACTTGGAAAGCTAAATGGGTGTGTTCAGGATTTTCTGCTAAAACAGTACAGAGGAAGGCACATTTTCCCAAGGTAGCCGAGGCCAAACACGTTAAGTGATGAGATGCAGGGTTCACCTTCTTACGTTTTCCCTTACTGGGAGGAGGTGGAATGTCTATCATCAAATTTGGAGGATTAGCCAGTAACTCATGGGAAAGCTGTACTGCAAGTTCTGAAGCCTCCTGAAGATGACCATGTGCATGTAAGCCTTCTGCTCGGGCAAACAATATTTCAAGGGGATCTTCTAATTTTTTAAGATTGCTAAAAATTTCTGCTCCTCTACTACAAACTCCACCATCATTACCCATATTTCCATCTCCTACCAAGTTGGCATTGTACATATACACTTCATATTCATCTGTTCCATGGAGGTCTCTTGACCGCTGTCCTCTATTACCTCCTCGACTTCTCTGATGTCTAACTGGCTCAGCTACACCTGACCAGTCAGATTCAACCCCACCATCATCAGGGGAAGACTTGTCACGCTCATCTCTAGAGCGTCCAACGACAGCTACTAATCCAAGTGCAGCCATGGGGCGCTCTTCTCTGGAACTCTGACGTGACACTTGACCTGAATCAACTTGCTCTGGAGATCGTTGATCTGGTGGCGAGTCACTGTCTCGTCCCATGTCATTATCGCAAAATCCCTCACTGCTAACACTACTACTACGATGGCCACTGTGCCTGGGACCAGCAAGTGGAACATTTCCTGGAAGGTTGTCAAGATCACCAGGATTTCCAGGACTAATTAACACACGGCGCTCAGAAGGACGCTTTGGTCCAGCATGTGAGGCTGGATTTCTTGGATGTGGGGCAGAAATGGGTGCAGCTTGAGACTCATGTCGAGAATCATGTCTAAAACACATAACTGGGCAGTAGTATCGAGATGCTGTACGTGAATATGTGACACCTGGAAGAGGATAATCACTCCAGTCAAGCTGGCATGCTTCTAATGAAGGTTTAAACCCTGGAAAAACATCTCCATCAGTGACTCGCTTGTTGCTTCCGCTGCCACTGCTACTCCCTGCCTCTGCAATTAAAGTATGGTAAAAGGATCATGTATGGTAAAGTATGGTAAAAAGATATTAAAAAATAGGATTTCTTAGAAAAAAAGCTACTAGTTTAATTAATTTTTGTTTTTGAGTTAGTCATTTGGTCACTACCTAAGGCAATACCACTCCCCCCTGTGAAATTGTGCATTCCTGTCTGAACCAGAGTAAATCATGTCATCTTTAACAGTGAGGGAATCTTCTCAAAATGCCCCTCCCAAGCACTAAGAGAAGGAAGGAAGGCAATGAAGAATTCTCAATCCATTCCTGGATAAATATCAAAAGGTTCATACCACTGTACTCAAAAACTACTTTATGTAAAATTTCACAGGAAAGACATTCAAATAATGTTCTGCTACTCCCATCAAAAACAAAATTCAAATTTCCAACCCTTTCACAGTACCACTCACCACACCAGATGGAAGCACCAGTTATGTTCAGTAGCAGCTGGGAAAGTCCATCTCACCCACATCTCAACAGACACCATAGGAAAAAAACCAGCGTTGAATATAATGAAACGCCATTTTCTGGGTGAGACCCAGAGGCTCCCTGGAGCTATCCAGGCTGGTATAGATATTATTTGACTTTGGCATCAGTGTGAATGGAGTATATAGGCCTACCAGGGACCACGAGCCAGAACCTGGCCCCCTCGGAGAGGCATGAGGAGCAATGGCCTATAGAAATTCACGTATGATATTGAGCATTCTATGTCTGCCATCTACCAGGCCGGGCACCCAGAAAGGCAAGTGCCCCAAAACAAACCTCTATTTTGGTTAAAACTACTACTGAAAGCTAAACGAGTAAACAGAACTCGCCAAATGAAAATGAGCAAACGAGCATGACGTCACACATGCTGCACTGCTTATCTGCGCAGCTCATCCCCCTCCCTGGGAGGGGGAAGGGGGAGCCCAAGGCCCCTCTCATACCAGCTATCCACACCCCCAGTTTGAGGCTGGATGTTAAAAACAAGCGAAAAAATGCCGACCGGGGGAGGGAGGGAGGAATGCCGGGGAGCCTCCGGGTCTCACCCAGAAAATGGCGTTTCATTACATTCAAAGCTGGTTTTCTGGGGGGAAGCCCATTCAGCTCCCCGGAGCTACTTACCGAAGACGAAAACAAGAGGGATTTACCCGGGAGGCAGTCGGCACTCGCTCCTCAACACGTCAAGTCAAGACAACTGGCTGCAACCGCCGACCCAAAGCGACACAGGCCCGACTAGGCCCACTAACATTAATCAGGTAGCGCACATCCAGGACCCTGTTCGACCGCCAAAAACCCCTTGCCCGTATGTCAGCCCAGAACATGTTACCGAAGACAGCAGCAAGGGCAGCAAACTTACGAACGTCGTGGGCACGAGGATAGACTGCAGGCTGGCTAGATGGAATAACCCTTACTTTACCTTGAGGTTACCTTGAGGTGTTTCTGGGGCTTAGTGTCCCCCGCGACCCGGTCATCGACCAGGCCTCCTCGTTGCTGGACTGGTCAACCAGGCTGTTTGATGCCGCTGCTCGCAAACTGACATATGAATCACAGCCTGGTTGATCAGGTATCCTCTGGAGGTGCTTATCGAGTTCTCTCTTGAATACTGTGAGGGGTTGGCCAGTTATGCCCCATATGTGTAGTGGAAGGGTGTTGAACAGCCTCGGGCCTCTGATGTTGATAAAGTTCTCTCTCAGAATACCTGTTGCACCTCTGCTCTTCAATGGGGGTATTCTGCACATCCTGCCTTCTGGTCTCATGTAATGTTATTTCTGTGTGTAGGTTTGGAACCAGCCCCTCTACTATTTTCCACGTGTAAATTATTATGTATCTCTTCTGCCTGCGCTCAAGAGAATACAGATTTAGGCTCTTCAGTCGGTCCCAGTAGTTTAAATGTTTTACCGAGTGGATTCTAGCAGTAAAGGATCTCTGCACGCTCTCCAGGTCAGCAATTTCTCCAGCTTTGAAAGGGGCTGTAATTGTGTAGCAGTATTCCACTCTAGAAAGCAGGATACTTCCTGCAGAAAACTGAGAAGAGCACCCTGTGAACGACATGGAAGACCCAAACCCTGAAACAGGGAAGAAGAGAAACCGGATCAACCCAAAGTGCATCCCCGGGCACAAAAGCCATGGCGCGCAAATAACGGTGGAGAACTGCAACCAACCACAACACATGATGCACCCCCAGCCTGACCGACCTAGCCCAAGGATAACCCAAGGAACCCTCCAGAAAGCAGCCGTCTCATTCTTCGCCAGAAAAGGAGACAGCTGCAAATGAACAATTCTATCACCAGAACCAAAAGAGCAGAAACTCCTACGCTGGAGGAGAGCACGAAGTTCCCCAACCCGACCCCCAGAGGCCAATGCCAACAGGAAGAGAGCCGTAGAGAAACAGTCCTGAACCGAAGGGGCCACTTCAAACCGAGGAGAAGAGAAATAAGAGAGCACCCTATCAAAAGACCAAGATGGCTCGGGCAGCATACGAGCAGGCTGGAGGTGAAACAATGCCCAGGACAGCTTGCAAAATGGTGCAGAAGTAACGTCAATACTGAAAGCAAGCAGCAACGACTCCGCCAGCGTCGCACGATAAGAGGCGACAGTATTCGGCATAAGACGACGGTCCTGAAACAATCGTGAGAGAAAGGCCAAAACAACCTTAACAGAAAGCAAAGTATACTGATGAAGAGACAAAAAGAAATGGAAGGACCACCAGGAAACTTCATACTGTTGCCAAGACGAAGCCCGCAGGTGGGACACTATCAATGAAGCCACCTGATCACCATACAGATGGTGATAGACTCGAGTCAAAAAGACCAGACGCAAAGACTCGAGTCAAAAAGACCAGACACAAAGACTCGAAGAGATCGAACCAGTCTCATAACGGACTGGACTGATTTACTGAAAGAGGTGGAGCCGTTCCAAAACCTCCGGGTTCGGACACCGAGTAAGCAGCGCCTGAAACCAAGGCTGGGCCGGCCACCATGGGACCAAGAGGACTACTCTCCTGCAGTAAGTCTCCAAGCAAGCTAGGACCTGGAGAAATAGCTAACCCGGGGGGAAGAGGTACAGGAACCAGCACCTCGACCAGTCCTGCCTAAAGGTATCGATCTAAAAGGCCTCACAGTCGGGGAAGAACAGCCCAAATACCAGAAGACGCCTTAACGGTCCACCTCTGGGTGCCCGAATGTCTGGCAGAGCCAACTGAATGAGTCGGCGTCGATTGTCCATTCCGTGGACAGGGAAAATGAACTGGGACAGGCCTTCCTGGTGGACGGCCTGTCCCCCTGGACATGAACGGCCAAGAGAGCCAAACCCCAAGAACTCAGCAGACGAGTCACACGAAGTAACCAGCCCCAAAGAGCCAAGGACCGCATCGCACCCCCTCGATTCAGGCAATGAACCACCTGGGAGCACTTGTCGGAAAATCCGACACCATTTAATAATCATACAGATAATAGCTGTATTACCAACAAGTTACCCATAGAAAACGTAACTTGTAGTGGAATTACCATCTAAAGAAAACGGGATATCATCACCACATACTATTATAATTCACCAGCTATTCTGCTGGGAATTGTTCTTAAATACATTAGTCTTTGGACTTTACCATCATAAAAACATCTTATATAAATTAACTTAATTATCAATATTAAAGTAGAGTAAATGTGACCCTTCTATCACTTTCTGAAATCTGGACAAAGTAGGCCAGGCGTCAGGGAGGAAGGGGGGAGCCATTGTTGTGTCACCTCCGAGACGTGTGGAGCAAATTCGGCTCCTATCATTCTGGACAATGTCGGCCAGTAGCGTCAATAGTATGGAGTGTTAAACAGCCATTGTATACGAGACCAGAGGCACACGGGAGCAAATACGGCTCCTGTTAAATTTACTTGGACGTAGTGTTATGGAAACCAAAGGTACCATCTCCAACACGATGTCTACAATTCAAGTTAAGTCTATCCGAAACCCGTTTATCATTCATTTATGGCAATTAATGTCAGGATATAGGGTGACCCGGTTAGATCGCGAAATCGCCTCAAACTAAAGGTCAAGACGAGGATGCAAGATTTGTGCACCAGTTACTGGGTGATATGGAAGCTACCTCAAAGAGGATAATTTGGTGTCTACACCCTAGTTATACCTGGTGGACTAACCTGCTGTACTATAAGATAAGGAACCTTTTCAATGTATGTAGTTACTGTAGTTTGATTGGCTGCATATATATTAATTTAATAACCCCCCCCCTAATGTGTAGAGGATCGATTTGTGAGATTAAGATATTATTGCAGAAATACAGTCCACTTATCATTATACAAATTGCTATCGAAGTATATAAATTAACGTAAATATAAATTCATATAAATTAAATAAATATAAATCTCACAGGTCGGTTCCCACAGCACTCCGAATGGAGCCGGATCGTCAATCCGCGGGCGACCCGAACCCTCCGAAGAGAAAACCACACCGCAGCGTACTCTTTCACAGTGCTGTGGGCCCGACAGAAGAACAAACCCCACCGCCCCTAGCCGGCCTGGCTAGCATTGGTCACAAAGCCCCAGCCAAGAGACGATGCGTTCATAAACATAATTGAGCGAGCACTCGGGTAGGTGCTAAAGCACTGAACCCTGAAAACCCCGAAAGGAAGCTGGCAGAAAGGACGCCCTGAAGAAACCAGAATAGCCGACGAAGCCAAACCCGACCCGGCAGGTAGACCATCATCGCAAAGTTCAGGATTCTGCACAAACCCTTGAGCAATCGCTGGGTGTCCCAGAACCCCCCCAGAAGCAAGCAAAGGCAGGGTCGCAGCCAAAGGAGAGATTCTGGAGGGAGAGACAATAAGCGGTCCTTGAGTCCCACACAAGACCCTGCCAAGTCTGAACCTAGGAAGGGACCAGATGGGATTTCCTCAGTTCACCAAGAACCCAAACCCGGCGAGCTGGGAAAGAACCAAATCCCTGGCGAGCAGACACATGGACTGACTGGGAGCCCGGACCAGATTATTAGTCAAATGATATCCAAATCAGCCTGGATAGCTCCAAGGAGCTGAGGGGGGTTCTCCCCAGAAAAAGCAAGCAAACTAGAACAACTCCCTATATGGACACAAGGCAAAAAACAGTTTATCTTACCATGGAGAACAAAGAAGAAAACAGGATTACCATGAGGAGAAGAAGAAGTGAATAGTCCACAAGAACCTCACCAGGTCACCCAACCCAACACAGGTGGGAAGAGATGACTACATGCTGAGCCTCGAGCACTCTGTTAGCGCGATAAACCCCAAGAATGAATATTACAAAACACCCCACACACACAGCTCTCCCTCCCACCCACACACACACAGCTCTCCCTCCCACCCCCACACACACACACAGCTCTCCCTACCACCACACACAGCTCTCCCTCCCACCCACACACACACAGCTCTCCCTCCCACCCCCACACACACACACAGCTCTCCCTACCACCACACACAGCTCTCCCTACCACCACACACAGCTCTCCCTCCCACCCCCACACACACAGCTCTCCCACCCACCCCCCCACACACACACAGCTCTCCCTCCCACCCCCACACACACACAGCTCTTCCTACCACCCCCAGACACACACAGCTCTCCCTACCACCCACACACACACAGCTCTCTCTCCCACCCCCACACACAGCTCTTCCTACCACCCACACACACAGCTCTCCCTCCCACCCCCACACACACAGCTCTCCCTCCCACCCCACACACACACACACAGCTCTCCCTCCCACCCCACACACACACACAGCTCTCCCTACCACCATAGAATGCACAAAACTTCAACCCAGGTAAAGTATGCCTGTAATGTAAAACTTCAGGGATGTAACATTACTTTTTCTGAGTCATTCTGTTTATGTAGCACATTTTTAGATTGATTTGTGATTATTGCCGCCGGAGGTGGTATGCCATTATCCTGGACTGTAAATGCTGCATTATGTAACGGTTCATTTTATATAAATACTGCAGGCAAGAACTGTGTGTGTTAGAACAGATATTTTATTACCAACAATGCATAATGAAATCAAAAGAAAGTGTTATATCTATGAAAAACTATTGAAGGAGAATGATGGGATCAAACCCATATCCCTGAATTCATGTGCACCTGAGGTGTTCAGGGAAGAGGATTTGATCTCATCATAAAGTTTCAATATTTTCTCTAGAAACACTGTATATAAGAACTGATAAATACATACCTTTGCTTTTAGCAACTTTCTCTAAAACCTTAAGATGCCATCCTTTAAATTGTACAATAAGTTGTTCTCTTTCCTGAGGCGAGAGTGCTGGGTTGAGTGCTGCCAAGCGCCACAAGACAACAATCTCATCACAGAGTGACGAGCAGGCATACTGACTCCCATGGCTATTGGAGTTCATGTTGTTTTTACCTCCATGGCCAGAACTGCCCAAGTGTAGTGCAACCTTTGTATTCACCCACCACACCAAGATCTGAATAATGTTATGTACAGGTTACTCATTATTACTCCAACTGTTGTATTAATACATGTGCTACTGTTATAGCTATACAGTACAACCAGGCTTGCTTTGAAATAAATTAAAAATATAGATTTCTATAATAACAATGTGAATAATATTTTAAATGTTTTAATAAATATTAATTAAAATTATATTAGTAACAAGTAACTGAAGTGATATCTTGTTTCTTTAAAAAAAAAAAGAAAAAAAAAAAGCCAGCATTGAATGTAATGAAACGCCATTTACTGGGTGAGACCCGGAGCCTTCCCGGATCTTATCTAGGCTGATATAGATATATTAGACTTTGGCATCATTCAGTGTGAATGCAGTTCTTAGGCCTACCAGGGACCACGAGCCAGAACCTGGACCCCCCTCAGAGAAGCACGAGGAGCAATGGCCTATAGAAAAACCCATGTGATTTGGAGCATTCTATGTCTGCCACTGACCAGGTCAGTGGCAGACATAGAATGGATGGTGGATGGACTGGCTGGTGAACTGGCTGGTAGGTTGGTTCGTTACACCTGCTTGATGGGGTTTTGGGAGTTCTTCTACTCCCCAAGCCCGGCCCGAGGCCAGGCTCGACTTTTGAGAGTTTGGTCCGCCAGGCTGTTGCTTAGAGTGGCCTGCAGGCCCACGTACCCACCACAGCCCAGCTGATCTGGAACTTCTTTTAGAAAACAAGTCTCGTTTTCTCTTGAAGATGTCCACAGTTGTTCCAGCAATATTTCTTGTAGTCACTGGGAGGACGTTGAACAACCGCGGACCTCTGATATGTTCATTAATGATGAATAACTATGTTAACATGATCTATTTTGTTATATATCATATACAGTGGCACCTCAGCTTATGATTGACCCAACTTACGATAATTTTGAGTTACAATATAAATTTGATCGAAAAATGCGACTCGACTTATAATAGTGTCATCGACTAATGATATTTGTTGGTACACGTTCGGGTCGACCAATCACATGGTTCTTGGTCACGCAGACTGACCTGCCTCAGTTTACTAGAGCCACTCACTTAAGTGACGATCACGCTTATAAGAAATTTCATTTTCGTGGTGATTTTTTGCTTTTTGAACATAAAACTGATTATTATATATCATGCCATGTGTTCCAAGAAAGTCAGTGGTAAGGTTCAACATATGAAAGCACATGTAAGAATGACCATAGAGGAAAAACAAGAGATCATACGTAAACATGAAAATGGTACTCGTGTTGTTGGCAGTACCTAGGCAGTGTACCTACCTCGTGTACCTAGGCAGTACAACAAATCTTCAGAGGAGGAGGAGACGGCGGCATTATAGGATGTGCCTTCTTCATTAATTAAGAAAATATGTGCAGTATGGGAAGAACTGCAAAGTTTTGCTAAAAAGAATTACCCAGATAAAGCTGTAACAGGCCATTGCATTGATCTTTTTAATGACACTGTGATGCCACACTACAGACAAGTGTTGGAAAGAAGGGAAAAACTATCTTCAATGGAACAATTTCTAGTGAGAAAATCAAGCAGTGAGCCAGAAGCAGGTCCTAGTGGTATGCAGGCAAAACGTGCCAGTGTGTGTACCCCAGAGAAGTCCTCACTGCCTGATGTTATAATGGAAGGGGACACCCCTTCCAAACAGTAACACCTCTCCTCCTCCCCCCTTCTCACCATCTTCCATACGCCATCAAGAGTCCTCGATAAAGGTAAGATAAACATATGTACTGTATTGTAGTTAGAGAAAAAAAATTTATTCAGTATAAAATGTATTTTTAAGTTAATATTTTTGAGGGTGTGGAACGGATTCCCTTTATTTCTCATGGCAAAAATTGTTTCGACTTACGATACGTCTCTGGGAACGGATTACCATCGTAAATCGAGGCCCCACTGTACAGTGGAACCTGATATGACGAGCACTTCAACTTACGAGCATTTTGAATAACGAGCATGTCAATCACCAACAATTTGTCTCGATTGGCGAGCACATGTTTGATTAACGAGAAAACCACATGGCGCATTCCTGCTGCTGCTCGCACATTTTCGGATGCCTCCGACGATAAAAATAAATAAAATGTTTTTTTTTTAAAGATGCTAATGATGCTGGGATGTAAAGGGGTGACTGCTGTGATGTTGATCTATTTTTGTAGAATAAAAGAAAAAAACAGGGACAATGTAATGAAACGCCATTTTCTGGGTGAGACCTGGAGACTCCCCAGAGCTTACTAGGCTGATATGCTAATGTCAAAATTTGGCATCAGTCATGTGTATGGAGTTCAATGGGCCTACCGGGGACCACGAGCCAGAACCTGGCCCCCTCAGAAGAGGCAAGGGGAGCAATGGCCTATAGAACCCCCCCTTCCCCCCCCCCCATGTGGTTGAAAGCATTCTATGTGTGCCATCAACCGGGTTAGGCACCCAGAAAGGTAAGCATCCCAAAACAAACCCCTATTCTGGAGAAAATATTGCTACCAAAAGTTGAACAAATAGATATAACTTCCCTAAACGAAACGAGCAAACGATCATGACGTCACATGTCGCAGTGCCGCTGTCTGCGCAGCTCCCCCCTTCCCGGGAGGGGGAAGGGGGAGCCCCAGACCCCACAGGCCAGCTATCCACCCTTTAGTTCTCAGTAACGAAAGTTTAGTTACTTTAGTTTATTTAGGCTGATGCTAGAGGTGGAGGTCGTGTGCTTGGCTCCAGGGTTTTCAGCACTGTGCTTAGAGTGTGGTGGCTGTCTTTGAGGGGTGCGAGAGCCAGGAGTTATTCTACGGTACTCGGGCTGCATGTGCCTAGGGTTATTGTTCCTAGGTGCCCTGTAAGTACAGTACTGCCCTTGTGGTTTGGGGCCACCTTTCTGGAGCAGGTGGAGGGGTTCTACCTTATGATCAACTCATGCTCTACAAACTTCATTGGGTGGAAAGTACAGATATTATTATTAATTTTTTTATACATATGATATTGTGGTACAAACACATATGAAGGAAGCAACACAAAAACGAATGATATGATGTCATAAACAATGTCGGGAATAAATAATGACTGTAAACAATGACGAAAAGCAGGTGTTGTTCACATGACGACCTTTTATCTTATGCTATTGGTAATGTTATTCTAATATTTGTTCCTATGTGCAAGTATTCCCTTAAAGCATTCTATCGCGAACAATTTGATACCAAACTGAACGACGTAGCACAAAAATTAAAGTCAGAAAGTTGAAAAGGAGTATCAACATTTCTGTATGGTGGCGAGTTCACGCTCAACGCTTGGCCTACCTTGAGGTGCGGGGGGAAGGCCACGCCAAGTGCGCAATAAGTGTTAATTTCATTTAGCCAGTTGAACATTATATTGAACTTTTACATTTTGGTGAGTTTTTTTTAGTTTTGGATTATTGTTGGAACAAGTAGGCTCAAATGGGTCTCAAAGGTCTGGTGCAATTCCTTAAGGCTTGGCAGCCACAGTGCTATATCTACAGGGCGTAACTGAGGTGTCCTCTGAAAATAACTAATGTATAAAATTACTCATCTTTATAAAGACTACAGCTGATATAAATTCTTTTAATCTAAAAATTTACCTTCTCAGTCGCTAAGCATTCTTCTGTGATTATTTCTAATAATGGGATGGAGTTTCGGTCATTTCTTTTGAACATTTCACGGACAATAGAAAGTAGATTCCACATTCCTTCAGGCTCACGTCCTCTCAATGGCCGCAACAATGATGCCCATTCTGCCGCAACAGGTGGTGCAGTTGAACTAAGATAGTTGACATCACTGGAAAAATATTATTGGTATAGTAGTAATAACTGATAATCTAGATTAATTCAACTGCTAAAACTATTTTGTATTCAATTTTTAACCTTTTTGAATTACAGCACTTTGTAATAATAAAATTGAAGCACATGTTAAGTATATGTGAAATAAGAACATCAAGAGTTTTGATTAAAAAGTTTTTTCAGCACTTGCCCTTCAAATACAGTATAGTGAAAATTAGAAATACAGTTTGACTACATGAGGATGATCAAGAAAGGTATCCCAGACAGCAGATTGCATGATACTAAACAGGATGATTATATGAATACATACAAACAATGTAGCAACTTAAAGGGCATACATGATTTACATGTAGTTTACCTATAGCTAGTTATGGGAGACAATTTCCCAATCCTGGCCAGGCTTGTCTTGCAATAGTTTGATCTTAATTGGTTATTGCTTGTAGTGGACTGCATGCCCACCTATTCATTACAACCAAGATGGTCTGACATTTCCTGCAGGAACTTGTCTAACCATTTCTTTAACACACCCTTTTGTTCCTGTAACATTTCTTATAATTGTTGGGAGGAAACTAAAAAACTGTGGACTTCTGATGTTCATACAGTGTTCTCTGATTGTGTCTGCTTTGTTATGCTCACAAAACATTAGGTTGTCCACCACCATTATTCCCAGATGCTTTACATGTCACTTTCCGTCTATGAGATCCGACTGTGTTTTGTATCCTGCATTTTGTTTGGGTTCCTGATTCTTACTACAGGTATATACAAGTATCTGGACTTTACCATTGTTATAAATTATGATATTGATATTAGCTTGAAGTTTTCAATGTCTTCTAAAATGGTAATTTTCATGCTGATTTTTGTGTAATGAGTAAATAAAATAAAATCCGTAGGAGCCGTGATGAGGTTTCAAATCTATGCATTGGGTGTTCCCACATAAATGCCCTAGTCAACTAGGCCACAACATGGTCACAAGAATTGCAACCAGGAGTTCTACTGAGCTCAAAAGGCTTTTACAGAAGGAACAGGATTTTCATAATATTCCCTTCCCTCCTCCCCCTGCACTCTGGCTCTGTTATCCAGGAATGTTCAACCTCTGCTGCTGCTCTTTTAATACACAAAAAGTAATCACACTAACGTGAAGTGTCAATGAGAAAATTCGTATGAGCCGTGATGAGGGTTTGAACCTTTGCAGTGGGTGTTCCCACAAACTAGTCAACTAGACTACAACATGGAAACCCTTGTGAGCTCAGTAGAACTCTAGGTTACAATCCTTTTGACCATGTCATGGCCTAGTTGACTAGGGAATGTGTGCGGGAATACCCATAAAAAAGATTTGTGAAAAAGATGCAGACTGTCTGAAGAAGACACAGGTAATTATCAAGAGAAAGCACTAAGCCATTATGACTATATTGCACTTGAGGAGAAGGCACAGGTGAAGAAGCAACTTTTGATATTTGTAAAGAATTAAAAATATGTATGTGTGTATTAATTAACACTTTCGCGCCAACTAGACGCACCGCTGCGTCCTGTTTCGCCTAACGCTACCGCATAGTGGACATAAAAGTTATGTCCTCTTTAAAATATTTGTATAAAATTCAATTTTTATCCGATTTACTTTGGGTTTGTTTCAAACTGTGCGCCATGAGGCTCTCTTTCTCACCACTAGGCTGCATGGTACAATAAGTTCATGAAAGGTGTGGACCACTTCGATCAAATGGTATTATGTCCCAAACGGGTTGCAGGTGGGTGACTTTAGCCGTTTATACTGGTAATGCTTCCCCCATATCATGTATTATATGCATATGTCTGTTTAGGAAATTTTATTCCGATCAATGTACAACCAAAAATAACTGTGTGCAACAAGTATAAACTTGACAAACATAACAAAAGTAAAAACATTTCGTGTGTGTTTGACGCTCACTGATATGTTCCAGCTTTGTTTTATATTTGGCGCTATTCTATCTTACGCTTTTTTGATCATTTTTACCTATGGGCTCATAGAACATTCTATTGCGAACACATTGACACAAAAATGAATGACGTACATAGAAAATTAATGTCATGAGAGTGAAATAAGTATAAACTTTCAAAGCGCCGTGCGTCGTCCCGTCACCGATACCGGGCAACAATTTCACCACTTCCCACAGTCTTGCGGGCGGGCCGCAATCATTATTCTACGCTTATATTCATATCACCATGTTGGGAATTTCATTGCGAGTCCATTGATACCAAAATTAACGCTGTAGGACAAGTGTGGAGGTGATAACAATCCCAAGAGTAAAAACATTTTGTTGCTGTTGGGCGCTCACGGCGAGTCATCTTCGTAGTTATTTATTTGGTGCTGGTATCCCTATACGTTTCGTGACTTTTTTTACTGATGTTCTTCTAGAGAATTTTATTGCGAACACGTTGGTACCAAAATGAAATACGTAGCTGAAGAACTAAGGTAAGGAGAGTAAAAAGAGTATACACATTTTTGTTTTTACGCTTACTCAGCAAAAACGCTCCGCGCACATACCGCTTTTTTTTTTTACCATCGAAGGGAGCGCGAAAGTGTTAAGATAATAAACACTACTTACCAGTGAAAATGTAAACTTAAAATTTGAAAAGAACAGGACATTATACAGTAAGTGACACATTTACCTCCTGCACAGTTTAGAAAGAGACTACTGAAAGCACAAGAACAGTAAAGATAAAGAAAATGCATAGGCAAATGCATAGGCAAATGCATAGGTAAATCTAAATTGCGATGTAAAATCCTGAAAGGCAATTCATTAGGAAAACTGGTCTGTAGCTTGGAGAGGATACATAATACAAGGTACTGGAATTTAGAGATTGCACAGATTTTAGAGATTGCAGCCCAAACTATGACAAGCTTCTCAAGGAAAGTGCTAGGAATATGTGATAAAGTGTGAAATGACACATATGTGGAGTCCTGCAGGGTACCAGCAAAAATGGCTTGCCTATCACATAGCCAGCAGAACTTCACCCACTCAAGCGGAACGCAATTTAAACAAATTTCAAGCAATTGACACGAAACTCATTAATGAAAATTTACGAGTCAATGACACATTGTATCATCAAAACAGTCATAAAGTTTTTGGATGAGGCATAATGTGTTACATAAGTGCTATAAGATGGTACTGTACACTATAATGGGTCCTCTTTCCATGCATGGGCTGAAGAGTTCAGGTTCACTACAATTTGATCATCATTACTAAAATGTAAGACCATAAATTATCTTAGTGCAGTTAGGAGTCTTGGGTTCAACTACAATACTCTCTTAACACTATCGCCGCCCGATCACGCATATTCCATCATAAAACAAAAAATACAGAGCATGCGGGATGACGCAAATGGTGTCAATAATTTAAAAATTTGTAAAAATTCCATTTATAGTCCGAATACTATTGGACTTCTATAAAAATGCGAGCCAACATCTTCCTATTCTCTGTATACTCCACATGGCATTCCGACCAGGAGGCATCCCGACCCAACCACGCTGGAGGCTCACTGTTCTTATGACCTCGCTTGTGACAGCTGCGGCCTCCCCTCAAGTTGAAAAGTTTCCCCATTCCGGTTATTTTATCTCAAGTATTTGTTGTTATCAGCTTTATAAACACTGCAAATTGACTTCCAGATGGATACTGGTCAAGAACAGAACCAATCCATGACGAAAACATTGAAAGAAATATGTATGAGGGAAAAGTTATTGTGTTTGCCAAAACTATAGAAAAGCGAGACTTGTACGTTCTTACGTCCCTGTTACATGTTCTTATATGTCCCTTTACAGCATTCTATTGCGATCAATTTGATACCAAAACTGAACAATGTAGCATGAAAATTGAGGTGAGAAAGCTGAAAAAGAGTATAAACATTGGAGTGCTGTGGTGAGCACTCAGGCAACGCTCAGGCTATCTTGCAGTGTGCAGTAGGTTTAACCCATAGACCGCACATACAGGGGATATAGTAGCAAAAAAAATATTTGAATAATGAAAAAAACCAGCGTTGAATGTAATGAAACGCCATTTTCTGGGTGAGACCCGGAGGCTCCCCGGAGCTTTACCGGCTGATATGCTAATGTCAGACTTTGGCATCAGTCATGTGTATGGAGTTCTAGGGCCTACCAGGGACTACGGCCAGAACCTGGCCCCCTCAGAGAGGCAAGGGGAGCAATGGCCTATAGAAACCCCCGTGTGGTTGGAAGCATTCTATGTCTGCCATCGACCGGGTCAAGCATCCAGAAAGGTAAGCATTCCAAAACAAACCCCTATTCTGGTGAAAATTGCTACCTAAATCCGAACTAGTGGATAGAACTCTTCAACAGAAAACAAGGAAACTAGTATGACGTCATACGACACCGCGCCGTTGTCTGTGCAGCTCCCCACTCCCCAGGAGGGGGAAGGGGGAGCCCCAGACCTCCCACGCCGGCTATCCACCCATCAGTTCTGAGGCTGGATGTCAAAACACGCGAAAAACCGCCGACTGGAGGGAGGGAGGGTTGCCGGGGAGCCTCCGGGTCTCACCCAGAAAATGGCGTTTCATTACATTCAACGCTGGTTTTCTGGGGGGAGCCCCGTCGGCTCCCCGGAGCTAACTACCCACAGAGGAAGGTCAAAGGGACAGAACCGGGAGGCGGACACCACGCACCCCCCACGGAGACGAGACAACCGGCAGCAAACACCAACCCAAGGCGCCACAGCCCCGAAAAGTCCCGGGAACGACACGAGAACAACGAGCAGCAAGGCCCCTGCACGAACACCAAAAATCCATGCCCGAAAGACCGCAAGGCCATGTCGCCCAGATGGCAGCGAGAGCAGCGAAGCCACGAACGCCACAGGCATGAGGGAAGAACACAGGCAGCTTAGCCGCAAGAACACGGCTGACCACCCGGGACACTATCACCCGCGAACCGGGAAGAACAGAACCGGACCAACACAAAACGCGCTCCGGACCCAAACGCCGTGGCACGCAAACAACAGCGGAGGGCCGCCACTG